TACCCGTCAACTGTAACCTACACTCTTTTAACACCAACAACTTCACAAAATACTTTTGATGTTGATAAAGAGTTCATCTACACATGTGCATGTAATGAACAGGTGAGAGCAAAAATAGTGGCTCATTATTGTGCATGTATGTACATGTATGTATAGCGTACGTGGAAACCTGTCATTCTGTATTGTATTCACTGATTGATTGTATATAGACCACTCGTTTTCAATGGATGTTGTTATGTAGGTCCGCTTGATCAGTGCAATGGTACCAAGTCCTCAAGGTCAAGCTTGGAACAGAAACAAAAATCTGAAACTATAGAAAGGAAATCATTATGAGGAAATAACACACGAGACAGATTACGTCAATGGTCCTTAGTTCATGTGCATTGGTAAACAGGCGACACAAATAACAAACAGGACACAAGTTCCATTCTTGGACAGTTTTAACCCACACACTCTTTTACATACATGTAGGTACATGTTGCGTACAAAAGTTACAAACTTCAGTAGGATCCAGTGCTATTGAGGTCAATGTTCAACTTCAAATGGACTGGGAAAACCTCAGATTGAAACGGCCTTTTTCGAAATGAAAAATCACTGGCTTTACAGTTAGTTGGAAGGACACTTGCGTTACACCTGTTAAGCAGGAAAACTGGGTCTCTTTCCCATCAGAAATACACTACTTGTAAGACTGCAGAAATAAATTATAAAAAGTGCCCTTCATAAAGCTGGGATTCCACTTTTATCAGTCGGACCAGACTTTTCTTGTGATAGCTTCCTGGAAGTTCCTGCTACCCTGAATATCACACTGAAAACAAATCTACAAATTCGGGGTGCCCATTCAGTGAAGGCAGAGCCCACTTCCTGCTTCCGTTGTTGTTACAGGCAAAAAGCCATCCATTGATTCCATTCACAATGGGCATGTAAGTGATACGCCATTGAACTTTGGTAACAATATAAAGTACAAACACATATGTGTGAATTACAGAAATGCACAGAAAGGCACAAGTGAGAAAACACTACATTGCTGTACAATGTAAATTGTTGTACGATGTAAATATACCAACATTTTACTACATGTATGTATTGTATCCAGTTGTTTCTTTTATATCAGGCAACAGTAATGTTGCTCTAAAATGCAACAAACGTGGGATGACTGATCAATAAGAAGTGGTGCATAACATTTCTTCATATATTTTTTTTGGGTGGGGGGGGGGGCAATACCAATTTTAGGTACAAATGATTCTTGTATGGCTTGTACACTGTACTGTACGTGTACTTATGATGGTATAATGGGATTATTTCCTGTCAATTAAAACCCTAACCTCATGAGCGCTTTTTACTAGAAAGTATCCTGAATCTGCCAAAATCCACCTATTGTGTCATGCACAAAAACTTTGGTGTTGGTGACTGCTCAGTGTGGAGGTATCCTGAATCCATCAAAATCCTGCAGTGCCGCTAGGCTTACAATCCTGAATCCATCAAGATCTCCCTGTTTTCAATATGGAAGTATCCTGAATCTGGCGAAATACTCAAAAACGGGGATATGGATTTTGATGGATTGAGGGTGGTTAGGGTTTATACATGCTTTAAAGGATGCCTTGCACGGTACCCACATGTAATCGCAAGGACAACACAGTCTGATCTGCACAAACAAATCATTTCTTTCATTCAACCCTGAAAGGGCTGGGTTATTTTGACCATCTCTCAGCCGGGGAGGGGGGGGGGGGATCTCGGCCATCGAGTGACAAAAAATTTTGAAACTCAGTACATGCATAGACCAACTCATCATGAACATACCCAAGAAATGTCATGACTATAGGTAAAAGGGTTTTGGAATTATGGATAATTAATTATTCATATGTACGAATGGTAATTGTGCTCTGTGTACACGACGTGTAGAGCCGGAAAATTTATTGGATGTTTTTATGTTTTTTTTCCGATTTTTATGTTTTTGGGATCAAAAGATGTGCAGGCTCAAGGCTAAAAAGTCATAGCAGCTCAGGTCGCAAAAAAAATTAAAAATCAAGGCTGTCACGGAAAAAGTTCAGCCCCCCCCCCCCCAAGCCCTTTTAGGGTTAAGTTACTTACAGATCACTCAAAAATTTAGTTGAAGCATGTTTCCCATGTACATACACATACAAAATGATTGAGTTTGAATGATCAGCTACCAGTTACATGTACACACAGCATGGCCCTGTTTCTTGAAGAAAATAAAGAGGGCACATTTCACCGAAGGAGAAATAAAGGACTTGCAATTTTTTGGGGAAAAAACGTATATACTTGAGTTTATAGTGAGCATATCAGGCTGAATTATAATAGTAAACAAAATGGTGGGTTATTTTTTTTTGCAGTAACTTTTTGTAACTGTGTGTATATATGTAAGGGCCTTGAATACAGACCAGTAGACTAGCCCTAGACTGGTGCTCAGCTCAGCATCAACTAGCCCCACAACTGTGTCTCAAATACTGGCCTTGCTCGGTATGTAGAGCCACTCAGCAATGCATGCTTAATTTTCTGCAAAGGTGTGTTTCCTGAATGTGAAGTCTATACTGTGGTTTCACTTGATATTCACTATGGTCTATGGAGGTTACTTAGTTTTATAAATAACCTGGGAAATTCTAAAAGGTCAAAGGTGCATACTCTCTCCAAAATTTCCCATGAATATTGATGCAGGATAAGTAGTAGATGTCTTGTAAAGTTGACGCACGCTCAGTGGATGATTAGGCCGAGTAAAAAAAAAAAAAGGTTCTCTTCCGGGTTTTTGAAAAATAGGAGGAAGAGGGGCTTTTTATTTTTTATTTTTTTCAAGATGGCCACCATTTTAAAATTCCCTGCAACCGTTGGTGTTTCCACTGTTCAAAGACACTTTTAAAATGAAAGACAAGTTGGACAAGAGAACTGAACATATATACAGTGCCCTTTAGAGTTGTATTGGTCTACCAAGAACAGTTTTAGATGCATTTGCTTTAACCGCCAAAAGTCGCGAGCGAATTCTTTAAACACAAGCTCCAGCGTGAGCTAGTCTCATACCGGTTGCATTCTGGCTTTGAAGTCAGCATTTACCGCATACAGTACGGCAGACAGATTCCGGTTGAATACGTACTTGCACTTGTACGCATGCGCATGCGCATATTATCGTTCCCTCCTACAGTACCCCCCGCGGCGCACTCCGAGCGATCGAACCGAAAATGACTGCGATCATTCTGCGCGCGTGCACGTTTCGAGTGTCAGGTTGGCTCAGTGCGGAAAGGGCATATTTTTCATCATTTTTGCCGAAAAACAGACAGAATCCACCGATGTTTGTTGGGTGCACATAACGTGAGTATGTCATGAGGTATTGTACGGAGTTTAGGGGCAAACTGTGCAGCGGTTCTGTGGGAAATAGCTTGGTTGTGATGGACGTTTTTGTACTTAGTTGGTGTTTTGTAGAGGCAAACAGTTTTGCGGGGTAAGCTGCCTAGGAGTAGGAACCAAGTGGGTGAGTTTTGTTGTGAACTCGCCATGCTCGCACTGTCGCAGGGGTAGCGATCACACGTCGATATTATGTGGTGTACAAAGTGACCGACAGAGTCTATACTGAAAACTTCGACTCACATATTTCGCAAGTATTTATTTTCCGATGAATTTGTGGACTTTTTCAGTGTTTTAACTGCATTTTTCAAAAATAAAAAATACTAAAAAAATCCAGGCGGCCTCCAAAAAGGAAGCAGGCGGGGACGAGAAACTTGTTTTTTTTTTTACTTTGCCTTAAAGCTCTTGTCTGGTTCCCTGACCCCACTGGCCTTTTGACTATAATTAGGCCGGGAAACAGTCTGGTAAATATCAGAGAGGCCATGCTCTTTCAAAACCGTCTGAATTCTTTGACGAATTACCATTATTTTCGGATATCTAGACCTCTGAAGGTACTGAATTTAATGATTTTTGTGCTAACCAGCAGTCATACTATAGCTGGGTTGATTTTCTGCTGACAAAATGATTTCGATCTTTAATTAATTTTCGGCTCCCCTAGCAACAGGACCATCCGTGCGCATACCACATGTGGGATGTGTGACATTAATACGGAGGTAGTCCAGTATTTCCGTCACATTTATGGGACTACCCCCCCCCCCCCCCCCCCAGATTCTGCAATGTTTTTGTATGCCATGTATGCACTGGAAGTATACCTATGATGCATGCAATGGAAAGATTCCCATATTATCTGGCCATCACTAATTTTTCCCTTCAGTGACCTAGTATCACTGTCAGCCAATAATGTCCTAAAAAGTGAAATTTAGCAGGGAAAATATTGAAGTATTTACTGAGAAACACTTGACTTTCAGACCAGTCTCATCCGGTTTGTGCACTGGGTGAAAAGTGATGGCCAGATATGGGAATCTTTCCCATGCAATAATACATTGAGTATAGTGCAGCTAGTGAGCTACATAGCCCAGGTTGGAAGAAGTCTTCATTGCAATACGACTGACGTCCAGGATGAGAATTCTCTACGTAATACCACCCAAACTTTTGACCAGATTTTTGTTATGTTTTACCTAGTTCTAGTTATAGACAACACGCGACCCAAAATTAAAGATGACGATCACCGCGCGATGTACTGTGAGCACGCACAAATGGCAAGGGCCAAGGCACAAACTGCGCAGGCATGGCAGGAAAATCGTGATTTCTACCACAAGAATCTGTTCAAATTTGCAAAATGGGTGTGACATTAGAATTGAAAAAAGTTTGCTTTTGATTGTAAACTAAAGGTGATTTTTTTAGCAATAAAAAACATTTCACTCTAATTTGATCAAAACAAAACAGAAACCCTACACTACATACACGATCGCCGTACAACAGCTACATCAGTACATGGGATTGTATTGACATCCATGCAGTAGCGACATAGGCTGGCTAGTCATGTAGGCCGCCTACATGACGTTTGTACGTGACGTGAATCAGGTTTGCTTCGGAGAAGTTCGTGATCCATCGATTAATTTACTGTCAAAGTAAGGGCAAGAACTTACCATACCATACCGTAGGCCCCCTCCCCGATGTAAAGGAGGGTGTTGTATCTAGGGCCAACATCAAACACTTGCCCACGAATAACTTCAGGGGCAGAACGCGACTTAGATTCACCTCCGGATGATGCGAACGCCGCCATGTTGATTCTGAAGAGCTCAGCTAGTGATTCAAGGACTGATTATCATTGGTCCGTTGCGACCATGTGATCCTTGAATAACCTTCGGCTAGCTGGCTAGCTTCATTCAGCAGAACGATCCAATTTCAACAAGGCCAACTTTTTGAATGAAATAGTCAAAGAAAAGAAATGCTTCCGTAATGTTAAATAATTGATGTGCTCACCACAATGACCTCGTTTTTAAGCCCGTTAGGTTGCACAAGAGAATATTAGACTGATTAATTTGCAACAAACCCGGAGAAAAAGTGTACTTGTGAATTGAAGTGGAACAGAAAACTTTCACTAAACTATAAAAATGCCGCACAAAAATATCAACGTGTGTACAAAGCATGGATTAGAACTTTAATTAATTATGTACTTGGACATTAACTTTAATTTAACGGGAATTAAGATCAGCTAATGGACCGGAATATAATTTATTTGTTGAATTCTAGGGTGTAGGTCCGACCTAATTCACTCCCAATTAATCCGACTGGAAAGCCGGAACTGTGTGTGTGGATATGGGGGGGGTAGAACATAATTGTGCATCAGGAAATGAAAATATCCTGCCAAAACTTGTGTGGAATTTATCTCAAGTTAACCCTGCATGGTTCAATTTAAATCTGATTATTTATTTTTTATTAAAGCAGTTACAATTCAACCTTGAATGTCCCCATTTTCATTGTCTGCCCAATAACATTTTCCTTCTAGGCGATAATGACCAGTTTTTCTTTGCTGTTTAGTGTTCAACGAAAGGTTCCGGGTCGACAGTTCAGTGGGGCCATATCAACGGGTACGGGTCCGAGGCCGTGGGTCGGGGGGGGGGGGTACGTACGGTTAAGGTTCCAGCGAGCAAGTAAAAGTTTACGGTGCTTCTGAATAGCGCCCTCTCGTGCTGCACGCGCGTTAATCTCACCACAAACAGTAGACGCGCGTTCGCGTTTACTGTTTTAAAACTCCTAATCCATTGTTCGGGAACAATAATCATGAGTACGCGCGTAACAAAAATAACTTCACACTAGTAACCAAACATTCAACATTCCTCACAACACAAGCACGACGTGGAGAAAACGGACGAAACATAAATTTTCTCTGAAAGCGAGGTGAGTTCTATTTACCAAAATTAGCCTAAAGTATAAAACTCCTTCAAAACTAAGAAGAGCAGATGAGAACGTATGTATACAATATACACAACTGATTATTAAGTTTAGGTCAAGATGATGGAAAATCTACTAGATACCTGTCAACATCGTTTGAAAAAATAAAATATGTCTGAATACAGAGCACGTCTTATTTCGTGATACAGGTATCATTTGTGATAACTTTTCCCCAACCGTACAATTCACTTCCTAAATTTAGCGAAATTGATAATCTTACAGCGACTAAAATTCAAGTCGAAAAACAAAAACATGAACCGAGCAGCAATGAAACGCGTGGATTCTCCGACGGAGCAGGAGAATGACCAGCGGATGGCCGAGGAGGAGCTAGGCCGTCTGCACCTGCAGTATCGCATCGTGGAGGGTCACCGTAAGGCCTACTTCGAGGAGGCAAGGAATATCATCAGAAAACAAAAGTGAGTTTTCTCCTTTTTCTTTCCATCTTTTGTGTCAATTTGTTTTGTTCCTCTCCTCCCCGAAGAAGCACCCAATCGGAAACATTCAGCCGGCCGGCCTCTCGTTGTGTGATTATCTTTAAATGGGGGCTATAGCCAATTACTTCGTTAAAGGGTTCATGAAATGAATTTTGCACTGGAGCATATTTGTTTGCAAATTTACATTCATCTCAAAATGTATCAAAACTTTGAGACATCCTTTTTGGTAAAAATGTTGCAAAGTGCACTTTAATACACAAAATTAAAATGTTTCATGCTTTTCCTGACAAGTTTTTTTTTATGCTGAAGCAGCTGAAGTTTCTGCCTTGAATGACATCACAGTTTTGCTCATGAATATGGAAATTGGCATCAGCATAAAAACCAAAAGGAACCAAAACGCCCTTAAAATACAATATGAAGATTGCAAATAATACTTGGAACACAAAGGCACATTTCAAGGATTGCATAAGAAAAAAAAACATTAGGTTCCATTTTGTGAAGTATTTTGAGAGAAGGAGGGAAATAGCTTGAGGAATTTTTATTGAATAGTTTTCACAGACTGCGAATTTAATTTCTGATCTGAAAACCAAATTGAAAACCATGAGTCCATGATAATATCAAGCAGTTGGTACATGACCAGGCCTATACAATAACCCTTCTCCCAATTATATTTACCTAGAATTATCGTATATCACCTTTTCTCTTGTTCAAACTTACTGACTAAGAAAGACGTTAAAATAACGGCCACTTCTAGGTTTACATGAATCCTAAACCCTCAATATTCCTTCGTTTACTTTTCTACTAAATGTGTATAATCCATTCATTAAATGTCATGTTAGATTTTTGTCCTTAAAATCTTTGGACTTTAATGTAGAGGTTTTGAAAACCCATCACAGTAAAACGAAATGAACGGTAGGCCACAGGGCCGGATAAAGTGTTTCGTAGGCCCTATATGTACCAGTGTTCCGTAGGCCCTATTTAAAAAAGGCACAAGCACAAATGTCATGTTAATACTAAGCTGTACCAAGCAAGCCAGTCCAAATTGATAGCTCTAAAAGCATGTTGGCACGCAGTGATATGTTTCGTAAGCCCTCATTTTTTTTCATAGGCCCCCGAATTTTTCGTAGGCCCTAGGCACAGTGCCTACTGTGCCACGCCTATCTGATAATACGGGCCTGGGTGGCCAAATTATGCTTTGCTACTGCATCGCCTATCTTTCTGGTTTATTCAGGTCCCACATCGACTCCCTGAGCGAGGAGAAGCAGGAGATTGACACAGATCTCAGACTGGCCCTGAGTCAGACCAATCTCAAGAAGGACCAGGCCAACGCGCAACGCCTCAAGAAACTGCTGACTGCTTACGAACAGGATAAGGCTGCAGTCGCCGAGGAAGAGGGCGCTATTGACAAGCTGGACGAGGAGGTACGTTTTTTGGTTTCTTTCACAAGTTTTTGAGAAAGGGGGGAATGGACACTGCGCCTTTAGGATAGGAAGTTGGGACTATTGGAAGTGGATTTTGCCGCTCCCATTGGCTCATAATGTAACTTGGCGGTTGTAACCAAGTAAAAGCGAGCGCAGGCTATTATTTATACAAGCTGGGTGGTTTTATCTTCAAAATCTCGGCTTCGTTCCGGAATCGGCTTCAGGACCTTTCCAGGCCCCATCAGAGTTGGGAGATTAAAATACAGATTCATATTCTGCTTTGAGAACGTTTCCATTATGCTTTGATGCCTCAAAAACGTTGGCCAGCCGGTTTCGGTGTTTGTTTTTAGTGGTGCGTTGCGCAGCGATGACCGTTTCAAAATGGTCATTTTAGCCAGAAGAATATTGTGGAAAAAAGTCAGCTTCTTTCATTCGTTCAAATTTGATAATAACGCCTGCGTAAAAATCTCAATTTCTTTGTATAATACAGGTGAGGAAGCTTGAGCGCATGCTCCAACAGAAGTACAAAGATTTGGGCGGTTTCCAAGTGGACGGTATTCGTCACGTGAGCACTCAGAAGCGAATCAGGGTCCTGGAAAATCGGCTGGACAAGGTATGCCATAATAATTATTCGCATTACAGCTTGAAGAATTATGCTGTGACTGTATGGTTTGAAGTAGTAGCCTTCAGGTTGTGACTAAGCATTAATTTGTTTAACCATCTCTGTTTTAAAAGTATGCCTATTATAATTTTCTGCTTTAATCTTCGAGACGAGTGTTCATAATCGCAGCAATGTGTTTAATAACGAGATAAAAAACAAGTGCGAGTGCACAATAAGCTCTGGCGAAAAATGCGACGCCATTGGCGAATTGTTTTCATATCCTCCTTCTGGATACCGTCCAACCACTGCACAAACTATCACGCGACTATAACAATACTGCACATATCTTGCCTCCGTTTACAAAATTTTCAAAAACAACTTTATGAATTGTTACAAACAATTTTAGAGTGCATTTCAGGCTACATCATTTGGCAAAGTAGATCGCATCTATCAATATAAATCTCCAAAATTCAAATTTATCTGCGTCCCACCGCCTTCTTTCCTGAAGGCCACAGTCGGCTTCAACACGATGCTGACCAACAACCAGGACCTGCGGGAACGAATCGACCACCTCAGACGAGAGCGCGCCATCTACGACAAGTTGTACCGCAGACTGAGCAAGGAGCAGAACGAGCTAAAGTGCAAGATCACGGAGATGATCGACGAGGCCACAGCTGCCTATGATATGAGGTGAGGCAAGGGTTGGTTTGGGGATGAGGTTAAAACAGAAATGAGACCGGATCGGTCGAAAATAATCTTTTACCGATTTAATGAGGGAACACCTTGCTTGAAGTAAAGATAGGGATAATACCAGATACCCCGTGAAATTGTTCAGCCTGAAATGGAATCGTTCAGAACTGAGAAAATAAATGAAGGTGGTTTCAACATTTGTACATTTTGAACGCGCGTTAATAGCGACGGATTCCAGTTTACGAAACCCAAAAAAATTGTTCATATTATGTCTTTTGTGTTTTTCTCAAGATATATAGTATCCACTGAGAGCTGACACTTCAACAGATTGGTTGTTATGCACCCTGTTAAGATTTTGAGGAATTTTGTTGCTTCAAACGAAATCATAATGCACTTAAAGCAAATGATCTTAGTTATTACTCTCCTTTAAAGTTTAAGACAAGTTTTTACCTAATAGTTTTTCTCATGCAGTGAAAAGCGCATAATTTGCTCTCTTTAAGTGAGATATAGCACCAAATCTTATTTTTTTTAAATTGTGTATTTATTGAAAAGGTTATTTTTGTTTCCATTTTGGACGTTTTCAACCCTCAGAAAATACGCTTTTAAGTTGGTTGCTTTTACGATACTTGTTAGTTACTGTCTAGCAGCAAATAACTCGAACTTAAAAGTAGGACTAATTACTAAGTAGTAAAGTATTAAGTATGTGAAGTAGGCCTAAGTATTTCACTTCATAGTTTTTCAAGTGCAATAGAAAACGCCTAAGTTGCTCTTTGTTTTTATACAACATCTTAAAATATACAGATATTACATGAGTGAAAAGGTTGACTGTTCTGTCACTGTTACATGTACACAAACTGGAAACCAATATCAGACGATTTTTACCCAATTTAATTTTTAGAGTGAATACTCCAGTATTATTGTGGGCGGTTCCATATAGCCTACATGTACATCTTCAACTTGTTCCTCGATTAGTTCGTCGCATCTATGGGAAACGATATTATCTACATATAACGATATGAACACGATGTACACGCAAAACTACGACTTTGTCTACATCTCTGAAGGTGCTAAAGAATCATGCTTTCTTTTCCTTCTCAAGGAAAACAAATCTTAATTTTGTGATGTGACATTAATTTGTCATTTCCAGAGACGAAGCCCAATCGAAGATGTCTTCTCTTCGCGAGCGCCAGGAGCGAGAGCAGACGCTGTACGGCGTGGAGATCAAAGAACTCAAGCGAATCATCGATCACGACCAGAAACTGAAGGACTTCATGGCCGTCAAATGCCAAGAGAGAACCGAGCTGAAGGCGATCGAGGCTGCTAAGAGAAAGAAGAAAGGTGCGAGAATCCGATCATTTCGAAATTGTAATTGTATGTCTTTAACGTTCAACTGTACGTGTAGTTTATGAGGTTGTCATAGTGCTTTATGTTGAAACAATTTGGTGTACGCAACACAATAGTAAGGATGTCACTGTGAACTAATATGAAATCCGTCTTCATCATGCCAGTGTACAATACAGCCGCGATAGAAGTAAGAAATTTACATCCACACAATTTGATAAACAATTTGTTTGAGGTACCTGTCGGTATATCATCAATCCGACCAAGTGAAGTCATGTGTTCGAATCCTGCCCGAGTAAATCCGTTTTTTTCTCGTCTTTCTCGACCAGCATTGACTTTACCATGCTAATTAAATTTTGTACCGGTAGGGTAAACCCAAAACTAAACAATACTCTTCGTTGTTTCTATAATCGCAACTTTTTCGTACGCGTTACACGAAGTTCACGCCAGAAAGGCATAGAAATAGATGCCCTTATAGCATAAATCGGACTCTGTAAATAAAGTGTGTGGTAGAGTTGTAATTACATAAAGTGAAAGTGTATAGTAAAATAATCTCCTAAAACAAATGTTTGTCTTGTTATCATTTTTCTTTCTTTCGTAAATTACCACAGAGGACAAGAAAGCCAACGAGCGCGCCCACAAGGAGGAGATCGAGATGTTCGAGCGCGCGTTCGATCGAGTCCGCGGGGTGACCGGCAGCGACGACCTCGACGAGCTGGTCCACGACTTCGTCAAGAAAGAAGACGTGAACTTCGCCCTCTTCAACTACGTCAACGAGCTCAACAACGAGGTAGAGGTGCTGCACGATGCGATCGGCGCCCTCAACGTCGACATCGAGGCCTTCCAGAAGCAAGGAATGAAGCTGGACAAGAGCCGGCAGATGATACTGAAGGATTTGGAGGTAAGGGGCAGGGAATCTTGATCCAATGCATTTATAAACAAAATTTAAGAAAAGTTGGCAAATTAAAAGTTTAAAGATTCCATTGTACTCTGAATTTTTTGACGTAGCATCGTGAAGATGAGTGCACCTACTGATGCACTCAGCATCTCAGCTTATGCGCTAGTGAAGGGCACCACCAAAATATTAGAAACAAACGGCATATTCTTGTTTAGTATCGTTTACAAAAAAGGCGATATTTATTGACGTTCATTTTTCATATTTAGGCATAATGTCACAGTGAGTCGAAATCAAACAACACTTAAATGTTTTACAATTACCCCAAACTACCTTATTATAATACAGTAATTTTATTGTACCGCTTGAGATACTCTGCAGAGAAATGAACGCTCAAATAAAACCTTCACAAAAATTCCATTTCAAATCTTCACAACTCGTTCACAAGTCATCCAGGCTGAAGTCGAGCGGTAATTTCTTCAAATAAATTAAACTGTTCATCCCCTGTTACTTGTGAATTGACTGATGATTGACTTGTGATTGACTCCATGACAACTTTCACGTGACTAGAACGAACACCGTTTTACCGGAAAACTTGGCAATAAGGCACCCTTTAACTCCTAACTTTACGACCAAAATCACTGTTACAAACAACCACTACTGGACAATCGTTACTCCACCCCCTTCTGTTTGTCGTTGCGAAATTCTACTACATTTTATTACTAGATGAGGTATACCACAACCGACCACCGGTGCAAGTTGTACGAGAAGCGCCTGAAGCGATCAGGCAAGCTGCTTGACCAGCTCAAGACAGCCGTGGACCGAACCTTTCGCCGGCTGGGCTGCGACGACACCGCCATCTGTGACCTGCTGGGGTCGGGCCGCGGCATCTCCGTACGGAACATCATGATGTACCTGGGCCAGGTCGAGCAGACTACCAACGATCTGATGCTGATACAGCATTTCCTGCAGCTCAAGGTAGGAGGCTCGGGTTTACCAGCTGTCATGAGAAGTTTACCTTTTGGTCTATGTAGACCTAACTCCGATAGGCTTTGTGACTTGGGGCGGTTTCGGCTTCGTCTGTGGTTTTAGAACCATGTAGAAGCTAGTCCTTCAAGTCCAAAACGACATAAATATTTCTACCTTGGCGTCATTTTACAAAATTTCGTATTCACGTGGCCCATATTTTTTGGCTCAAGCTGCCAAAAGGGCCTCGACTTGATTGATTGATTGATTGATTGGTTGATTGATTGATTGATTGTGGCCCCATATTGAACCACACACGTCCCACACGTCATCTCCGTCAAGCCATGTCAGGGACGAAGCAAAGATTTTGAAACTTGTCGATTATTTTGGCAGATATAGCTCTCTTAGGCTTGCATCGTAATGAACCTTAAGAATGAACACATAGTCATTAATTAGTCATCAGACTATAATAGCAAACATGAGCAACCGTTGCAATACGAAGTTACATCGTTGGACTTACTCTTGAGAATAACGTGTTATCATTTTCACGAACCCCCTGCAGGAAGTACACGCATCAAAGGGTGACGCTGTGCAGCCAGCCCTTCAGCCAAAACAGACTGGCAGCATTGTGGCCGCCAAACTGCGCCCAACACCTCGTGTCAGCATCGCTATCATGCCGCCCTCTCTTGAGTAAGTGTTGCGACCAAGTTGCCTCCAGAATTATGCTGTAGCGCCCCTTCTTTGTACTTGAGAAGAAAACTTGCCTGCATTTTTTCCCGTGTAACCTATACTTTAAGTTGTTTTTTTAGTTTAACTTTTTAATTATGTGCAACAACTGACATTGATGAATGAATTCAATATGGAACTACAATTCCTACCATGTTGACATAAGTAAAGTAAAGGTTCCTAGATAAAAATCATTCCTCTGGGAAGGACCTGTAATGGAACTGTAATATAAAATGCCCCTGATCATAATTCTTGCAGGGCGCAAGAGGGCGTCCTAGCGGACGACGAGGAGGAGGAGCCAGTACCGGACGAAGTTCAACCTTTAACCCTGGATGAACTTCGACAAAAGGTCGTCAAGACGATACGCAAGAAGGACGCTCAGCCGAAGAAACTGAAGGACACTAAGGGGCAGACGGAGGGTCAGAGTAGCCCAAGCAGCGGCGCAAAGGACTCCAAAACAGCCAAACAGTAGTAATAAAGTCATTTAAATGAAATGGTGGGAAACGAAATCGAAATGCTGTTAGTTGCAGTACTAAAGAGCTACAGGGCGTGTGCAACATTACTTACTACGAACGCATTCTAGCCAGTCGCTTGATAAAAGTGACCGAAAAAAATCTAGCGGTAGTAATATCCGCGTAATCAAGAGAAAACAGCAATGACAATATTGGTATTGACATTTTACTCAATATCTTTTAACCAATTGCAAAGTAGAGCTATTTTGTAAATGCAACATTCTGCACGTATTTAAATACATGTACACTGAATTAAGAACAATAAAGTCAATAATCACTTGAACAAAATTAGTAATAAGATTTTTACTTGGCAAAATGGTCTATACGATTTAAGCTTGTGTGGTTGTCATATTGATGAAACAAATTATATAAATAACCAATAATAGGCCTGATCAATAAAATTATGTCATGTAGAAATACATTATTGGGTGGTAATCACCTTGTTCAACTTTGTCAGTGACAATAAAGAAAAACTTTTTCCTAAAGCCATTTTCATGGAGCTTCTGGACTGCGTTTTTCTCAATGTGTATACGGAATTTTATACCAACCCAAATTTTCATATGATGTGTAATTATGCCAGTGGCCGGTTCTGCGTTGGTTCTTGATGAGTACATAAACCTGCTATATCGGCCTAAGCATGGCTTTCTGAGCACAGAGTTTAATAATTTTCAGAATTAAAGACACTCGAAACACTTTATTCATGTTTCTGCATTACCTTTATTGATTTAGTGAGTACATTTTCGTATTAGGATCTTGCAGAGAAGATTGAGTACATTTTCGTGTCAGGATCTTGCAGAGAAGATTGTGTTTCTATTTGGGGAAACCATGCAAATAAAATAATTAACAATGGCGGGGCAAAGGTATGTATCTGCTGCCACCCAACGGCCGAACAGGCCGTAATAATATACATTCAAAAACATCATAACCCAATTATCAATTCGTGCTTTAATTGTTTTCTATTCGTTTGTTCAATACGACTACAGCTGAACTTGCGGGAGAACAACATTTTGTTTTCGAAAAGAGACCTCTGCGCGAATGGGCGTATTCACAATTTGCGCGCCACGTGACCAGATTAGCTTGGTTCTTAGGGTATGATGTGGTTGCCAATGACCTTAATGGCCGCAAAAACCTCCATGGCGCTAGAGTAGATATATTGTTCCGGCATCAAGAACCCATAGTTGCCCGTGTCCCTCAGCTCCGGGGCGAAGCAGTAGGGGATGTTGGCCTTGCTGTAGGCCCAATCGGCGCTCGAGCCAGGGGCAACGTCTGTGATGGAAATGGGAAAGAAAACACACTCGCCAATCATCATCAAAGTTCGCAGTCGTTACAACCGGTGTCATATGAAAATCCGACTCCTATGAAAGTTGGACCCCTTTTCCCGATCATTGGTTAATCCCCCGCCCGTGACAGGTCACTCTCCCATAATTGATCCTAAAAATAGCATATTATCGTACTTACGCATGCGCAATACTACCAATGAGTCCACATTTCATGGAGTCAGATATTCACGCTACACCGGCATAGTGCCTGCGATAGCAAGTGAGACTTGTGGTAAAGTCGAATCCTAAGTTGTCAAAAGCTATTCAAATGGGAAACTAAAGTCATTAAGTTGTCATTGCTCATCCTCTATTATGACCAGACTTGTGATTTAGGCAGACTTATAATTTAGGCTGCTTGTGTCAGACCGGACACTTGAATGACTTGTGCTGAACTCGACTACAACACTGAACAAGATCAGTGTCATTACTCATGTGCTTATCTAAGAGTGTTAAATGACCGAAATGTAGAAATCTAATGAAAACCGACTGCATTGAGAAACGAGAGAAAAAATTACAAGATTGATCAGACACTCACAGATGACGTTGGCGATGCTGCCAGTTTGGAAGCTCAATCCGTTGACCGCCTTCAGCGCTGCCATGGCGCTGTCAGCGAGGTTTTTCTGAAAGGAAAACGCGAACAGCAAGTTTAACTGGGAAGATGGGGTATAAGTGGAACCGTTACGTCGAAAAAGGGGGCCTGCACTGTGAATCGCTCCTAGAACTGAGGCTGAAATGTCAAATATAAGTGTGAATTATGTAAGCCCACCTGGGCTTGGTAGTTTGACGGTAGGGACGTGGTCCAACCGTATGGCGTCATCCAAAACTGGCTGTACGCGTGCATGTCAATGAACACCTCGACCCCAGTCAGACCCAAGAGATACTTGGACACCACGTCAACACACGCCTCAGAGAAGGGGGCCAGACCCCGGTAGGTTTGCCCGCAGGCGTAGGTGCTTGATGCCGGATCTGGACGAAAAAGAGACGTACGACTTAATGCAACTGAGTTAAAGGGTGAAGGCCAAGGCTGGGATGGAGAAGGTGCCTACTTAGAGATGGTAGATAGACACTTTGCTAGATTTTATTATTGAAGTAGCAGAGAGCCGAGAAATGGGTGGCACGCGCATGTGGTCTAGCGGTGGAACACATGATTCATTATCGTGAGGTTGTGGGTTCGAGCCCCGCCTTGGCCATGCGTGTTGTGCCCTTGAGTAAGGCGCTTTACCTCAATTACTCCTCTCAACCCAGGTAATAAATGGGTGCCGGCATTATTCAATGCTGGGAAGGTAACAGACTCGCCGTGGAGGAGGTGTGGCGATCCCCCCACAGCAGCATGTGAGTCTGGCCCATTATAACGAAAGAGAGATGGGCACTCCGTTCCACAGGTTCGTCTCCTTTACCTTTACCTTTTTACGAGAAATTGATGTTAAAATTTTACTGTGCTTTGCGTATGCAAAATAACGACTTCGGTGTGGCCGGCATGGAGTATCATGTCCCAGCACTGATAGTTATCACGTGTGCTTCATTGTTCGTGTGTCTATAGTCTCATCAGCCAGCCGATATGGACTATAGAGGGAAATGTCGTGACCAAACGTTAATTAAGTTTCAACAGGGCTGCGTGAACGTTACATGGTGAGATAGTAAACAACGGTGGGAATGGCCAGTATAGACTAACGATACCCTCGTGAAAAAAAAAATTCGGGAACTGAAAGAGACTTACCATCCCAGTGGTCGTCCCAGTTTCTGTTGGGATCCGCGCCGGTACACCAAGAAGACGACGTCTTCCCGCGCGTTTTCCTCCACAAACGATCACTCTGCGAGGGGAAAATCAGGTAACAATTTTCTTTTGCTAATCATCTCATTGTGACGTATCAGCGTCACAATGAAGGTCTAGGCGCTTAGAGGTTCACATTCGGCCAGATTTTGCATAAATGTCATGTTTAGATTGTTTGCTATAGGCTACCGTATGCCATTGTCGCAGGAAATTAGTAGGAACCATTAGGGGTGCAGACCCGTAAATACACTGCCATAGACCCTAGTTGTAATTTCTCAAAATTATTTTAAAAATACTCACAACTCTCGGAGGTTTTTGAGATAAATATCAACTTATTAAATAAAGCTTATTCCATCATCTTTCACTTTCTGTTCAATTTTTGTTTTACTATCCGATGACTTTTGGGAGAAAACTCCATCCAAAGATGATCACCACTAAAAGCAGTCCTAAAGCCCATCGCCATTTGGGAAACGGACGCCTACGCTCCATTGCAAAAAAAAATCCATTTTAGGGCCTAAATTCATCCAAATTTCACACATAATACGAACGTGCAGTCCTCTGCACGGCTTCCACCTTTCTTTCATTACAAATCCTCAAGTTCACGGCCCTCAAAATGCTATAACACGGAAGAACTTGAGGGCATGCAAATCGTGGTTTGGCCGGCGTAGGTAATTTTGGACCGATTTACTGGTCTGCAACCTTAGAAATGTATTATACGCGTACGCGACAGATACGTGTGCGGCTCGGAAAAAGTGTCCTATTATAAAATCACTATTTTTGGTGATAATTTCAGTTTTAAATACCTGCATCTCAAGATTTTGACGTGAGAAGCACATCGGAAATAATGTGCCCAAAAAGAACCCGACAACGCAAGATGGTGATTTAACAGGCGACGTTTTCCGAGTTGCATACCGTACTTGCATAATTTCGTAGGACGGTCCCTAGTATCTTCACTATCGTAGAAAACGTTGGGGAAACCCCGTTTTGTTTACATCTACGGTAAGCGCCTGCATTAGAAAGTGCCCGGCATACAAACCGATCGACTGTACTCGTAGCCATCCGGGTTGGCTATCGGCATCCAGTAAAAGTCCACCTTGTCCAGGAGGTTGGTGATCTCCGAGTCGGAGCCGTAGCCGGTCAAAAGCTGTGAAACAAGAACACATGCGGTGAAAGGAGATTTACTGTTCTCTTCTGCACTGCATGTGATCTCTTGAAATGTGATTCGTGCAAAAGTGGTGATATAAACTGTTGGTGTGGGCAAAATGACATGCAAAAGATGCTTCATTGGTTGGGTTGCCCGTAGGTTGGTATGACGTCACAGGTAACATTATGGAGTGTCAGTCCTCTAAGTGACCGAGCCTGCTTCACCGCCTTGAAAGACAAACCCTTTTATGCCTAGTATAACTTCAAAGCTTCTTACCAAGTCGACCATCTTGAGTAGCGTGGCTGGTGACAGCCACTCCCTGGCGTGAGTCCCACTCATGAGCCAGAAGATCGGCTTGTTGGACCCTGACTTGCCGAGCTGTGGAAAGACGGAGAGGAGGAACGGTGTATAATAGTCAAGGTAAAATCCTCCAAGAAAATACATTTTCAGCAGCCTCGGCTTAAGATTTTGAATTATTAGAATCCTGTTCCACGTTGTATTCAAGGATCATCAAATGGTATAACAGGAGGCGTTGGTTTATATGTGGTTTAGATCTGTAATGCTTTAATAATAGTGGAGCCACTGTTGAAGCCGAATCGGACTAAGCCGAGATTTCGCAAACCTCAAAGGATATAGCCAGGACGTTCCGATTTTCATATTTCCATGATTAGCAGGTATTTTTTTCTCTCGATAATTTTCACTGTTAAATTGCTATGTGAGGCTTCGGATTTGAACACAGTAGACGGTACAGATCTTTTCTTGCATTTTGGTAATAACTAATTTTATATAATGGCAAACGTGTTGGAAACGTGTGATGAAATTTTGACATGAAAACTTGTTAACAGTTGTGAATGTCGGTATAGCCGATTACAGCTATAGACTTGCGTTATATGGTTGTGAAGAATTTTGTCCCATAGTACAATATACGCTTCCTGCTCTCTTTATTTACAGTTCACAATCAATTGCAGAAATGAGGTTTGATGTTCTGATGTAGGATGGAAGTACGGTAGGAATGATTCGGAAGTAAGGAAGTAGGAAGGTTTTGCTGAAAAACAACAAAATATAAAGGGAAATTATAAACTAATATAAATGGTAGAGTAAAGTAAATTGGGTACACAAAAAGGAAATAAACAATTAGATATTAAACTAGTAATAATTAAACTATAAGATAAATGAAGAAAAACTATGTACTTACTACGCTGGGGGTGTTGCCAAAATTGGGTGTCTAACGGCGTGTCTAACGGTGTGAAAACTAACTATGTATAAAACTAACGGTGTATAAAAGCAGGTGTTGTAGGTTTGGACACTAGCAACAGAATGATGGGAAAATGGGCTAAAACTATGGTCAATGTACAGACAGTGTCCTAACAGGGTGAATTATGGTGCCTTAGGGAATGTTTGGGTCTGGAGTTGGGGGAGGTTGCTATATGGGGACCGCCACCCAGGCCTGGCAGAGTTGGGCAAAACAAGGTCGTACAGGGATCGGGGACTGTGGTCAAGGGATCTTACACTAAATTGTACATCTACATTGTACATGTACATGGTCTAAGCTAAATAATGAGGATAACAATATTTTCTAAACCTAAAGATGATTAAATGGTATTAATTAAAGACAAAAATAATAAGAACAAGTAAATAATACACAACGTCCGCTACAGTCGGGGTAAAACTTGTGTTGAATAAAAACTAAATGAACGGGAAAACAATTAAATCGAGTGTTCTTTCTTCTCATTTTGTTGGGGAGGGGGGGGGGGGGGGGAAACAACACACAGGCCTTCACTGTATTGCCATAACCAATCAATGATATTGAGACAATATTCCATCCAAGGGTCTATATAGTATTAAAATGTTTTGGAAGCATGTGCATCCCGGTAAGTGAAGTTGTGATTTTGTAAAATGTGAACAGCCTGAAAGACGTCACATTCTTTTTTATTAAAGAAATCAGACAAACAGTGTCATGACACACAAGAAACATTTTCCGAGGACAAATCTTCAACAGCGTCTCCTCTGGCCGTCTTCAATCCTTTATGATGCCACAAAATTCAAGTCCTACCTTTAGAAGAGTTAGATCCCTGCCTTCGTAGGAGGAACCTATATTTTCTGTTTTGGCGATGTTTGGATATTCTCCCGCCACGTCGCTCATCCACGTCAAAATCTGTGAGCAAAGAAAGGTATATTTCATTCCTACGCCCAATACCCATACACTCATCCAACCCTTGAACACCCAGCCCCCAAATAACATTCATTCTGTCCTTGAACACCCATCCAATTCACCATCCCGACACACCAATCCCAAACCTCCAAAACACCCAGTACTACCAGAAAACGATCTGCCCAAAACATTTATCCTGTCCTTTAGACCTAACACCTAGCCCTAAATATCCATCCATCCGTCGTCTAACACCCAGCTCTTAACATTCTGTCTCAATCCCTTACCACCCAGCCTGAACACCAGCCTACCATTGAACACCCATCCCCAACACACTCATAATAACCGCTCATGAGCACCCATCCCTTAGCGTCCATTCACCTCTGGATCGCCCAGTCGGAAAAATCCAACCCAACCCTCGAGCACCCAGCTGAAAACAACCACCATACCTCGCCCAAACTGTGGTACAAGTCGTATCTGAAGTTAGAGAGCGCAGCCAGGTTCTCCTCCGGGCGTTCGGGGCTTGTCTCCTCGATGACTTTCTGCACATCGTTGATCGTGACCGTGGACTCCAGGCCGTGTTGGGCGAGAAATTCCTGGACAGAGTCGGCGTCATCGGGCGCTACCATCAGGTCCACGGACTTGCCCACGTGGGTGGGCTCGGCCCAGAAATCAACCTTTTTTTAGCCAAAACCAAAAAATACACAGCCAGATGAGTAACTCTTTGAAGGTTCAGTATTCTATATAGTGATCTCGTCACTTTTTGCAACTTAGAAATGAAGTAAAACATTTTAGCACTATATGTTTGTGGTATAAAAGTTACTGAGCCGTGGTTCCTCTTGTACTCACTGAAAGACAAAATTTCAACTACGAACAGCCTGCCCGAAGTAACAAACTCTGTACAATCATGTTCAGCTAATATATACGTGATCTTGCATTTATACACGTAAAATAAAAGGGCTTCGCGAGGATTTTCTACTTTGATTTAATTCCACACTGGCTATGTTGGTTAGAAACAGAATTGGGACGCCAACTAACCCTGGTTTCCAACCCACGTTTCAGGTCGGCTATGGACCGGAGCTGGAAGTCATCGCCAGGTGTTATACGAAGAACCTTGTAGCTACAGAAGAAACAAACAAAAACACTTAAAAAGAGAAACTGGGAAATGGTTAAAGCTTTCGGCTCATAAGAATACGTATCCTTCGGTTAAAAATGTACATCTCAATTTTTTAAAACCCGCATTGATCGATGCAAAATATTCACAATTCCAGTTAAAAGCGATGCAGGGAGACTTAAAGAGCCCATGAAATGTATTTTTTAATGCAGTCCTCAAAATGCACCTTGGTATCCCATTTAACCTTATTTTCATGAGCCCTAATAAGGACACAGATTCACCCATCACGTACGGTATGCTTTCCGATACACGCTGTGTAAAGTGGTCAGGACTCGAACCCAAGGCCAATTTTCTCTCTACAGCAACCGCCTTGCCATTTGACCACTGGATTTGAAGTCTTTTTATTTCAACCAAAAGCTCTGGGAATCCAGAGCATACACAATGCAGATAAAATAACTTAGTGAAGGGCAAAACCTATAACATGAATTAGAACTAACAGCACGAAAATTGCATCAACTGCAAAAGGCTCTATAGATCCAATTCAGGCCAACAGATCCTTTGCATTGCGGTCACCTTTAAGGTTCGTGCTGTTGTCTGAAGGATACTGTTACCTCAAAGATGGACGCTGAATGCATAGAGTCTATATGCTAGTCTTGGTACCTACCCATCGTATCTCTTCTTGCCGAGGCAAAGACCCAGAAGGGCCGCCAGTAGAATGACGCGCAGCACGGCCATCGTCACCTTCAGAAAATGACAAATGGTTCTCCAGACATCGCGTCGGTAATTTTTTTATAAAAAGATAATCATCTCAGCGGTCCTTAGTCCAAAAAATGTTTGATAAATATTGATTCAGGAACTAGATCGATATTGGAAATGGGTAATCATTTCATTGTGTATTTGTCGAGGCTGTCTGGTGACACCAAAGAGATTTAAACAAACCATATAGCACGTAGCTCCAAATAGATTAAAATTGTTTTGGTTGGATGACGCAAGTCTTTATAAGTTTTGGCAACCGGGCGGGGATTACCTATTTATTGATGGCGCCCAAATTTTAATTGGTTTATAAAGAAGTCGTTTTCGTTTTTAATATACCGCACCCATAAAACCGACTTTCATGTCTAGGACTCTTCTGGGATCTCGGGTTTCCCAGCCCATTACAAAAACCTCATTCCCTGTCCATCCATAATATAACGAGAAGGCAAAGCACCATAAAAGGGAGGAAACGAGGCGGCTCCCAGAGCCTTATCTGCTGAGATCAGCTATATGAGCCCCGTACCATAACCTGGACTTTGCGGACGCTCCTAATATTGTCAGATCAGACATAACCTAAACCTCCGTCTGCTACTTATTGAACAGACTGTCGGCTTAAGATGTGTCAGTCGGTCCAAGGTGCCCCAAACTGATCGAATACGGGTAATTTTCTGCTAAGCAAGCTCAAAATAATTGTGTGATGAACTTTCACTCGTAAATGCCGCCCAAAAATGAGAACGTTAGGCAATCCCATCCCTCGATCTTGTGCTAATCTGAAACCACCTTAAGTAATTTCGGAACTTTTGACACAACAATTCCAGGCATTCAAACAGTGTCTTATCTGTGACGCCGCAATTAGGGATAATAGGTTGGCGCAAACATCCAGGAACCTTTATAAGTCTCGTGTCTCGTAACCAGACCCATTTTATTGAAACTCAACGGTACTTGAATCCAGAGTGCTGAATGGTAAACGCCTATATACCTATATGAAAAACTGCCCGTAAATGAATGTCTTCGGCTGATGAAACACCGCCCGTTCCTAATGGCCAAGTCTGTCTGTGGATAAACACCGATACCAGAGCAGTACACCAAAGGATAACATGCGATTTGCGTGTTATGCCAAAAACATTACTGCGTTTCTTTAGGCTGATAGTCTTACTAATCAGAATGGGAATTGAGCAGCTTTGTTGGGTAACAATGCAATCTATGATCAGATAAAAAAAAAATAAGGACACAGTGCAGAAATCAATTATCATGACGAACGTAAGGGAGGGAAGGAGGAAGACACGTTAGGTATAGTGCTAATATAGTATTAGTAGTTGATGAAGATCAATGCAATACAATTTTAACTACTACCATGTGATTATTGTTCAAGTTGAAAGAAAATAGCATCGCAGTACGTGCTGGACACATGGGCGGCGATCCCGGGGGATGGGAGCCATTTGGATGGACATTTGGGCGGTGACATGGGCGTCGCCAGGATTTTTTCTAGAGGGGGGCAAAACATGTTTTCCTCAAAAATTCCTGCGTTTCTCAACATATTCCCAACTGCAGTTGGTTCAATAACGTAACGTAGGCCTACATTACGTTCATGTGTACAGTTTCATACATACGCGTTTGAACAGCGCCCCCTAGAATCAAGTGATTCTAGTCAAAAGCCCAGGAAACATTGGTTTTACAGAGAATCTCAAGGATATCATAATGGCCGAGTGCATGGTTCTGTTCGTCGTCAACCGATTTCGGGACCCAGTTTCGATTCTCTGTGGTGTCTTTTTTGGTTTTCAAAACACGCGTTCAACTATTGACTAAAAAAAAGAGATTTAATTTACTATCGTAAAATACCTAGAGTAACCTAGCGTGATTGGTAAGCTCTGCAGTTGGGACTGCCCGCAAAGTCCAGGTTAGAATCTTCGTAAAGGTACGGGGCTCGTTTGGCTGATCTCGTTTCCTCCCTTAATATGGTGCTTGGCCAGTTATGGATGACAGTGAAGGAGGTGTGATGGGCCGGGAAACCGAAGGTCCCAGAAGTTTTCCTCGTGGAAGTCAATAATGGGTTTGTTAAGTTGAATTCCTAAGTCCGACTCCTGAATGTTTGGGCACACCTGTTACTATCTGTTTTTCCATATTTCCCTTTATTGATCCTATTGCAAGAGTATACGATTGATTTTTTTCATAAACTAAGGATCGCTGAGAATTTCCCTTTTATGAAAACAACGCGATGCCCGAAGAACCATTCCTAATGTCTGAAGGCGGCCGCCAAGATGACTGTCACTTTAACTAATTTTTATGAGCGAATTGATTGGCCCTTATACAACCTATAATTTGTAAGCCAGTTTCAGAATATGTATGTTATATGACAACGTGAAAGAAATTCTTGCGGGTTCAAGTGGGAACTTCTTGCATTTAAGTGCCAAACATTAGGCAATCCCATCTCCAATCTTTTGGTAACTTTCTGAAGACCCCTTTATGAATGTCGGACCTAATTATTTTTGACATAAGTCCTTGAATCCGAAGTGTTAACTCCTATCTGTGACGCTGCCATTAGTAATATTGGCCAAATGTATGGATAAATACCTATACTGGAGCTGTACACAAAGGACAATATGAGTTTTGCGTATTTCGCAAAAAAAAATAGCATGTTTCTTTAGGTTGGTATATACTAATCAGAGTGAGAATTGAGCAGCTTTGATGGGTTACAACGCAATCTATGACCATAAAAAAAGTTAAGAAAAAAATAAAAAAATAAAATTATTGCAAAATATGTTCTTTATCAGTTATCACGACGAACGTAAGGAAGGGAAGGAGACAACAATGTTATTTATAGCGCTGATATAGTGTCGAGGTAGTTGATGAAGGCCAATCCAATTCTATCGGGTGATTCTTGTTCAAATGTTGACAGGAAAAAAACTCGAAGTACCTCAATGAAAATAACGGCTGGACATAATTATGGGCGGCGATCCCCGGGGATGGGGGCCATCTCCCCCCCCCCCCCCATATGATTTGGGCAAGGAATAATGGCGTCCCCCCGTAATTGATCGTAACCAAATTGACATCATGCTGCATTCCTATGGTGCAATAGCTCTAACAAAGGGCTTGTTTGTCTCGATTTTTCATGTAGGCCTCAGCGGCGTAGCTACGGGGATGGGGGATTTCCCCACTGGAAATTTGGCAATTGCGCGGAGAAAAACGAAACCATGATTAGCGGGTTTAACATAAAAGTGCCTTTTTCACATTGTTAATATATTTTTGGCGATCGCGATTGGCTGTTCATTTGAACGTCCCTAGAAACGCGTACAACGATGCCTATTGTCTGACAATGACCATGATGAATTCGGTTTTGAACAGCGCCCGATTTAATAATGGCGTCCAGCCCCTCCCCCACCCCCCACCCCACCCCTCCCCCATCACACTATTGATATTACGAAGGTCGGGTGTGCGGTGGAAAAAAAAAACGTTTACCTTTGTGCACGGATAAAATTGGGCGCCCCTCCACTACAACATCCAGCCCCCCCCCTCCCCACTCCCCCCCCCCGGATGAAAACCCTGGCTACGCCGCTGGTAGGCCTAAATGTAAGGGGGAACAGGCGTATATTGTTCGTGTATATATAAGCGTACATACATGTTTGTATATGCAGCAACTAGAATCCGATGGCGTTCAAACTCCCCCCCCCCTAGAATTCCCCAATCTGCTGATCGCCCGTTCCCGAGTTTGCCAAGAAATCACTGATCCTGGATATTGGACAAACAACGTTCTTATCGAAAAAAAAAATGACCGCATTATAAGACAAGGAGAGGGGAAATAAAAAACATTTTAAAATCTTCATAGTGGAAGTAGAAAATGGCATCATTACTGTCAATTGATGGATCGACATTTTGAACTCGAAAATGAAATAACACAGAATACCCATCGTGCCCTGGTACTTGGTCACTTGGTCCATTACCCAATTACTTGGGTAATGGAAATAACTCATTCGCCTTTGGATGCAATCGGAACCTACTTCCCATAGACGCCTGTGTAATTGCCAGACGTAGCCAGATTATTCGGCCGCAGCCTTACTATACCTTTGCCGGTGTCTAATTTGGACTCCTATGAAACTGATCTCTTTGACCTTATTTGGAGTCTAACCCTCACAGCTGACTCGCCACTTTCCTAACTGCGTTCACGAAATACAACAGACGAGTCTGTATTGTATCGAGTCTAAATATTACGCTACACCGGTACAATGTGTAGTAGCGCCCTCCTCAGCCGAAGTATTGGATTCTCTATTCTGTTTATTTCATTCCTCACGTTTATTGAGTTCATGGACGTGTTCTGGCGCCTGCGCAGGCTTGTTCTGGCGCAGGAAACTTAAACCCCACGCACAAAGATGATTGAACGATGATCTCACCACGTTTGCATGACTAAGCGAAGGACCAAAGTTATTCCTAAGTGGACAATAACTGTTTTAAGTCTTAACATTTGTCGTAATTACACATTTATGTGAGGCACAAGATGGCGGCAAAGCGGATGAAGAGAAAGGGGCCAATACCGGATAAAGTTCAACCTTTGACCCTGAATGAACTTCGACATAAGATCGTGAAGACCATATGCAATGAGGAAGCTCAGTCAAGAAAAAAAGGTACTAAGGAACGGAACAGGAGGGTCACAGTTGCTGTATTGGACCCTAATGGAAATACCCACCTATAGGCATACGGTAAACAAAAGACACCTGAAGACGTTATGCATCATATCATTACTTTTATTTTCAACTGAGTGGATTTTAGCATTGTCATCTAGCAAAGAGGGTTTTGTTGTATTTGCTGTCAACATGCGAATAATCGAGGAGTTTTGACTGTCCAGATCTCTTCCAATCATTACATAACTGCAAGCATGCACACAGGGGTGCGAACGTACAATCAAAATTGGCGGGGAAAAGATTGTGTCTGCTGCCACCAAGCGACCAAGCAGTCCCTAAATTCATGCATTTCCAAAAAATAACGGACAAATGATCAATTCGTATTTTAAATTTTTTTTTTAATTGTTCGTTAATTAAGACAAAATCTGCACGAGCGGGCGGAAAATCCCGTTTGCTGAGAGTGCCCGTCTGCGTATGGACAGAAGCATTGTGTCCTAGCCTGGTTCTTAGACGAAGTTGTTGGCAATGACCTTAATGGCCGCAAAGACCTCATTGGCGCTAGGGTAAATACTGCTTTCCGGCATCAAGAACCCATAATAGCCCGTGTCCCTCAGCTCCGGGGCGTAGCAGTAGGGGATTCCCGCCACGTTTTGCGCCCAATCAACGCTCGATCCAGCGGCTTCGTCTGTGATACGAAAGCAAAAGAAAGCACAATCGCTAATTCATCAAGTAGGCTATTATTAATTTGTTGCGCCATTTTGTTTTCATCAAAGTCAATTCTTGTATAATCATGCAGAAAGATAGTCAATGAGACCACCTCATGTTGTATCCATTATGGCCAATTGCTGTTTGCTAAAGATATAGCAAGTGAGACACGAAATGTTGTCCGAGTCCTTCACAAGTCATTCGCAACTCATGCAGTTCCAAAGTAGGTCACACACTGTTCAAAATAAAACCAGTGACAAAGCATTCTTTTGTAAATGTTCGTCTTCCGTTGTTTGTGAATAGACTCGTGAATTAACACGTGATTGAATTGTGACCGACCATCTGATGAATCTGTGATGGGCCTGACTACAACGCAGAAGACTCGACAATCGTCCCTTATGATAGCACCAAGTAAAGTTTATAGGTCAATATGTTTGCAAAGCAGCCGTCAATCGGTCGAACACAGCAGGAAAGACATAAAAATGACTATTAACGTGGATAAAGAAAATCATGCATATTCAGCAGCTAGATTGCCAGATTTGATCAGATACTCACACAGGATACCGGCAATGCTGCCAGTTTGGAAGTTTAATCCGTTGACGGCCTTCAACGCAGCCATGGCGCTGTCAGCAAGATTTTTCTAAAAAAAGAAAACGCGTACAGCAATTTTAATGAAAATTGAATGTTTAGGTATCCTTGGATGGTTCTATGGTGTTTCACCGTTGCTCAGACAGAACAGAAACGCATCACGACACTGTACCAGTAAGCTATCATTTTCATGCTGTTTGTTTAAACACCTGTGAGTGTTGTGATTATGTCTTTGCTGAGGGTTGATATTCATCATTGGTGTCTATAGGAATTTATTTATTTGCCTACACCCTCAGAGGCTATACGTCAATGGTAATGAGGTGCGCTCACAGATTCGATGATTAGTAATTAATTATGCATAACAAGACTGCGTCTTGACCTCCAAATTCTGACCATACACCGGGTGCTTTCTATCGGGTCTTCGGTAACCCGTTGTTGTATTAAAAAAGTTGTTGTATTAAAAAAATAAACGTGGCAGCCAACTGACCAATCAACAGCTCAGGCAAAATGTCTGCTCGAAATGACGTCACAATTTCTATTAAAGTCCCCTCCGATTGGCTGGCGCGCGGGGTAATTTGCATGCTCACATATATCAGACATTGTTGCGGATCGAGCTTGCGGGCTCCGTTAAACTTTAACGGATGAGGTTCAGACTACACGTACAGATGCCAACGGCGCCCTTGGATAAAGTAGTGGATGCAGGCGAAATATATTTAGTTGAAAAATGGTCTCCTCGTGGGCAACGCTTGGTGGCGCTGTACATTATTCAACCATTCTTGGACTGCCAATCATGGAGCAAGTTCCGGCGAGGACTATGGGGAGTGGACTACTTTATTCAACTATTAAGAACCAGAACACATAGCACGGTTCCATCGCTGGTTACCAATAGCCGCGCGTACAATCACGCACAACAGGGAGCCAGGACGCGGAAAAAATTGTGATGACATTCTGACCCGATGATCGTTTGACTAGAAGCGCTCGGGCGTTGCTTTCAGTGCGCAGGCGTATTAGCTACGTCACAAATCAACTGCTAGTCGACTAATGGTCCTCGTTCTAACTTGCTCATTTTAATAAGGTGTACCTGGGCTTGGTAGTTTGACGGGAGACTCGTGGACCAACCGTACGGCGTCATCCAAAGCTGGCTGTAGCAGTGCATGTCAATGAACACCTGCACGTTAGACAGACCCAAGACATACTTGGCCACCGTGTCAACACACACCTCAGAGAAGGGGGACAGGCCCCGGTAGGTTTGCCCGCAGGCGTAGGTGCTCTGTGATGGATCTGAAAGAGGACGAGGTGGATTGTGCTTAACATTTTGCTATACCTAATTTGCTTTGAATCAGCCATGCTACACTAGTGCCGAGTCAGCTTTGAATTGGAATCCGGGTCATTTTTTTTTAAAGTGATATTTTCAGGTTCAAAACGACACTTTTTTTTAATCAGAACGGTTAACGACGCTTTTGCCTAAATATCCGGGACAAGATGACCATACGACCAATAATAATACGACCACGGAGCACAGCCATAGATTGAAAGTGTTGATTTTTGCGGAGGGAGGAAAACCGGAGGGCCCGGAGAAACTGAAACCTTCCGTGGCACAGGAGAGAATTGACGCACAACTCTACTCGCATTATGGTCCGAGCCGGGAATCGGACCCGGGCCGCAGTGGTGAGAGGCAAGCGCTTTACGCACATGCACGCACAAGCCACCCACAAGCCACCCATGCCCCGCATCATAATCTGACCCGGAGTGTAATGCCTTATTAAACTGCAATAGCCGAGAAAACAACTGTTTATAATCCTACTGGGTTTATGATCAGCGTCTGACTGACACTGGTGTAGCAATTCCCGCAAGCATAGCGCATCGAGAGTCAGAGAATTGATGCAGTCATCACGTGCGCCATAGTATGCATTATCCACAGGGTTCCTTATGAGGTACACAGTAGAACAATACACCCCATAAGGAAGTCTTTAGAAATCAATCTGCCCCATATAGTTTGAGATTTTTATAGGAACAAATGAGAACAAAAGAAGGGAAACAAAGGTCTTCCCCACAAGTATAGGTGTGTGTGTAAGACTGGGTGAATGTATAAACACTGCCTTATGGGGTACCGGAACAATGGGAGGTACCCCACAAGGAATGCCCACCGACTTGCGGCTGCAAGTTGCGGGGTACCGTTTTGGTACCCCACAAGTTTTTCACGAAAAAGATATATGGATTTTAATCAAAAACTAGCAATTTCCAAGGTGGGTTGATCCGTCGCAAATGGAAGAGTTTTAGAAACGGGATATTAAGTCCGAATTTCAGCCCAGGAAATTAATTCTGGTTAAAATAAGAGCATTTTGAAATAAGTGTGCGACATTGCAAAATTTTAGTACACGAGAACAAAGGAAGTACCCCATAGCCACTTCTATGCTAATTCCAATCTTTAAAAAATCCTGGAACTGAAAGAAACTTACCATCCCAATGGTCACTCCAGTTTCTGTTGGGGTCTGCGCCGGTACACCAAGAAGATGACGTCTTCCCGCGCGTTTTCCTCCACAAACGATCATTCTGCCAACGGAAAATGAGACCAAGAAATTGCTATGATAAGCTTCCCATGATGCATCGGCACACATACGAATAAGTACCAAGCGATTGACCTATAAAGTGAATAGACCTCGTGTGTCGCGGGTGTCCGATCAGAGGGCGCTCTTTGTTATTTCGATTTAGCATCAATGAATGCACCAAAGAAAGGTTTTTTATGCCAATCATGGCAATACAAAACTATTTGTCTTAACAAATGTGATATTTCTATTGTTTTACCCAAAAATAGCATCGTTACGCAATAGCACCAATTTGCCAAAACAATATTGCTTATGGGGCCCATCGGATTATACAAACCGATCGACTGTACTCGTAGCCATCCGGGTTGGCTATCGGCATCCAGTAGAAGTCCATCTTGTCCAGGAGGTTGGTAATCTCAGAGTTTGAGCCGTAGCCGGTCAGAAACTGTGAAACAAGAACACATGCGGTGAAAGGAGAAACCCGTCATGAATTTTCGGCGTTGCAAAAGATTGCCGCCTCGTGGCCATGTGTGGAATTACTGTATGGCTGTTTTCAACTTCTGTAGTTGATTTCAATACCACGTAGGCCTATAAGTTTTCACTCCTTGTATAATTAGCAATATACTTTCAGTGAAGCAACTTTGTGCTTTAGAATTGATATAAGCTATGCATTTTAAACTATAAGCACCAGGCCTACCCGTTTTGATAGCGTTGATTAGGAATTTGGACATAGAATTGAAAATAGTGTCCACGACTGCTGATTTTGGTCCTGAATTGTTGTTGTTGGTTTTTTTTCGTTGGCTGATTTGATCGATGATTTAATCGTCATGAGTAAGAAGAGTTACCATGATAGAAAAGGCAAAGATTGGTCTTCTGTACACGGAGTCCGGGAATTTCCAGGGAAAATCTCGCTTTGCCCCCGTTGGGGAAACCTGATATTTTTATGCCTTTATAATTTCGCCAAGTTTCTCACCAAGTCCACCATTTTCAGTTGCGTGGCAGGCGACAGCCACTCGCGAGCGTGAGTCCCGCTCATGAGCCAGAAGATCGGCTTGCTGGACCCTGGCTTGCCGAGCTGTGGAAAGAAAGAGAGAAAATGACGGCCAACTTTGTATGAAAAAACAATTCCGGAAATTAAAATTTAAAATCGTACTAGGGGTTACTGGTTTCGCATCCGGCTTCACCTGAAGGGGATTATCAGGCCCATGACTCGGCTTTACGACCTTCTCAACATCAAATAGTCGGAGTCGAAACCGGAGTTGAAGTCGGGGTATAGCGCAATACTCCCGCTGCAGGAAAACCTTAGACAGACGACTTTTTCGTATGACATGTTTGGCAGGTATATTCAATTTTAATTTGTGAAATGACATTTTTTAATTGAGGATTCGGTGTGTTGTTAAACAATTCTTTTTTTTTTTTTTACAGAAGTTTGCATTGGAAACATGTGATTGTCAACGTATTCTTAATGCAGGGGAAGAGGGTTGCATACTTAACTCTAAAACATTGAAACCATTATTCAATCTATAAGTTTGTGATATTGAGTTTGATTATTAGAATTTAGACCCTTGTCAACGGTGTTTCGGGCATGACCAAACCGAAAAGCCTAATTCAAAAAAGGAAACACTCACTTTTCAAAATTAAAATTGCATGGCAAACTTGCATGACATCTACGAAAACATTTCCCGACGACAGTTGTTCTTCAACACCGCCCCTTTCTTAACTCCCGCCCCCTTTAAATCCGTATTGAAGGCACACATTGAAGAATTAGCCACAAGCCCCGCCTACCTAAAAGATTTGCTTTGTGTACATTTCTCACAGAGCATGTGACCAAGCTTGACCAAGCAACCATGGTCACCTGACCCAAGGTTGTGATGTTATTGGTCAACGTGCTCTGTTGGATGGACAGACAGGAGGGGTCCATTCCTATGGTCTCGTACCTTTAGAACAGAAAGCTTCCTTCCCTCAAGGGAGTAACCGATATCGATCCTTTGGGCGATGTTTGGATGTTCTCCCTGCACGTCGTTCAACCACGCCAAAATCTAACAGGAAAGAAAGGTATTTTAATTCACGATTCAATCAATCTTCTTCTTTTTTAAATTGGCTTTTCGTCTGATTAGGTTGTCCCTATCTATAACGTTCCCACTTTTTATCCCTCGGAGAAGAGTTTAATTTGATACCGTACATTAATTGGACAAAAATGTGAAATCCAGAGAGGTATATCCTCCAGTAGCCTGTCCAGATTTGGGGTGAAAGGGGGGAAGGGGTAGGTTATCTTGGGGGGGGGGGAGGGAGCAGGCCCGTAGGCAGGGGGGAGTTGAGGGGGGGGGGGAGTGGGTTCGGTTCGGCCGCGCCCTCCCCCCCCCCCCCAAATAAAAACAAACAAATAAACGGAGGCCGGGTTACCTTTCAGCACGGATGATGCGAGTGGCTTTTTTAACGGCTACCACCCCCCCCCCAATAAAAATGACCATGCTACACTATACTGTATGGAGACTGCATTTTTGAGGAATGAATGCACAACCTCAGAGTCCGTCTCCTACATTGAACAGACTGTCAATGGATTAGGATAGCGAGTTAACCTGACAGATTACGGACAATTTTATGCTGAGCATGTTCACAATTCTATTCTCTGTATGACTCCATAATAAGTTTATTATTATGTTATTTACTTATCAATTAAAAAAAAAAATCGTCATTGACACAGATTGCAAGAATGGAAATAATTGTGTGGTGAAATGTGAATAAATTCGAGGCGCATCAACACACATATTAGAGCGGCACCACGTACGGAAACTCAGGGGAAATGCATTTTGTGCTGCGTGTGGCTTCAATTACCACACTCGTCTGGCCCAGGGCCTAGCTCCCACAACCTTAAACTGGCCCTGCATACAAGGGGAAAAAACAAAATTTTGTGTTGGAAAAAAGAAGACATTGTTGTCTGTACAAAATGCCGTGTCAGCAATCAATTCATGTATACTGTACCTCGTCCAAACTGTGGTACTGGTCGTATCTGAAGTTGGAGAGTGCCGCCAGGTTGTCCGGGCGATCAGGGCTCGTCTCCTCGATCACCTGCTGGACGTCGTCGATCGTGACCGTGGACTCCAGGCCGTGTACGGCCAGCAAATCCTGGACAGAGTCGACGTCAAAGGGGGCCACCATCAGGTCCACGGACTTTCCCACGTGGCTGGGCTCGGCCCAGAAATCAACCTTTTGGCGACAAAGACAAATCGACAGACTTATTCGGCGACTAGCCATTACTGAGCTGAGGTGCGACCACTTATTTCTGTGAAACTAACACACTCGCGCGCAGGTGGTACACTGACACTCCAGTGTTTCGAACTAATAATAGGGTTACCAAAATGCGCGCCCCACGATTTACGAACGCGTGCGGCATGCGCGCGAGCGTGGTCACACCTCCATAATTGCTGGTAATTGTGTTCCCTTAATTTGTATACAAGTATTTCACTCAAAACGTCTCAAACAAAAAGGTACATTTCTTATTAACAAATCAGTGCTTCCACTTTTAAGGAAATTTGCCTAACGTCCGAAGGAAATGAAATATTTCAGGAAATGTTAAGGAAATCCAAAATCTGAAGGAGATTTCAAAGAAATTTAAAAAATGAAAAGCAGAAAACAATTCAAGAAAAGTATTGAAAAAAGAGAATAAACTTGTTTCCAAACGAAAATTTAGGTCATTTTGGGTACCAGGTGTCTCTACGGAACAGAGGTATATTTTCGCCTCTTACACCTGGTGGGGGGTGATGATTTAAATCATTGCTGACAATTTTTTTTTGTCAAAATTAAATCCGCCGGGGGGGGGGCCCAAACAGTGGAAAACCATGCACAGCATTTTGATCATAAAACATGACTCTGTTAATATAACTCTATATTTCCAAAGACCAGTCGTTTCAAATGATCAGTCAAACCCCCTCCATTTCTTGATTTCTCCCAGATGACTCTAAGCCAGAGGGAATAATCTCCCAGGGTGTTTAGTACCGATATGATCTGTAATCCAAATAAGTTTTTTGAAAATAATTCGCTAGGTTACTTTTGTAATACCTATAAAGTGCAAACGATCCTATACGCTTTTCAAGGTGTAAATTATGCGGGGTCACGCAAAACCTTACTAATTTCTGATTACAAAAAAACCTAGTCAGTGGTTAGAATTAAATTGGAGCGTGAATGGCAACTAACCTTATCTTCCAAACCGCGTTTCAGGTCCGCTATGGAACGCAACTGGAAGTCATCGCCTGGAGTCACACGGATAACCTTGTAGCTGTGGAAGAAAGGTCCCGTATATACAACTTTGCCCATGTACGGTAACTAGGCCTATACAGGGTGAGTAAAAAAAAAACCGAAACCCGAATGTCGGGACTATTGTTTTATTGAAGTTCTGCATGTAGCACTTTCAAAATCTATTATATGAAAGCCCACTTCATGAGCTTTCTTTTAGTACAGGAATCATTCAAATCACTCATGTACTTTTCAAGTTACGGAATTTCAAACACAACCACCGTTTCAAGGTTCTGTCCACGGATCACCAAAAAAGTGTGCGTTCTTTCAGCAAAACTAAAACAATGTGATTTATTGAAAAGTACATAAGTGATTTGAATAATTCTTGTACTAAAAGAGAGCTTATGAATTGGGCTTTCATATCCTAGATTTGAAAATGCTACATGCAGCACTTTCCTAAAACAATGGTCCCAACATTTGGGTTTCGTTTGTTTAACTCAACCTGTATACCTATAGGGGCAAGTGGCCCCGCTTGAGGCCTGTGCCTTCCCCCTCTGCGCCTGTGCCTCCCCCTCCGGCCCCCACCGCTCAGACTTGGGAGAAGATAAAAAAAAAAAATTGTTTAAAACCTACAGAGTGTCCCCTCCAAAAATGAACCTCCCTTGCAAATTTGGTCCAAGATTGACGCCAACGTTGTGGCGTACCTTAATCTTTCAAAGCTAGTTAAACGATCTACATAACAGCGGTTATATAAAGGGATAGATACAGGAAAAGGAGATGTATGCCTATAGACAGAATTAAAGTTACAACTTCTAGGACTAACATAATAAGTGTTGGTAGGAGAGAAAAAAACACACATTATTTATAGTTGCTCTTCCCGTTCCATTTTCGAGTTTCACCCCCGAAAATAGATTTTGAAATAAAATTGTTATTTTCAGCAGTAAAAATCCGCCCACGTTTAGTTATATAAATATTTGCTTTACAAATTTCAAATTGTTTGCGACCCGACAATGATTCAGGCGTAACTTTCTGCAATCACAACCCAAAATAAAAGCGTATTTTCGGCGCGTTGAAAGGTTTAAACATACAAATTGAAAATTTGCCTCCCCCCCCAAAAAAAATTCCTTGCCCCCCAATTGCCGCCCCCCCCCCCCCCCCCCCCCATTTTAGAGTCTGGCGACGCCACTGCAATTCAATTTACTGCCGTCCTTTTTGTCAACAAATCCAACTCGTAGAAAGCACCAACCAAAGAGTGCTTCTCAAATAAACTCAGTAAAAGGAAAAACAAAACCTGATATTAAAATCTACAGTACCCACACTTCAAATCAACACTACAATCAACTTAAGTCGAAGGCTCTATAGATTCAATTTAAGCTTTTAGACCATCTCCATTGCAGCCATGCTTGGGGTGCGTTCGTTTGTTCCATATAGGAAGACACACGCATTGACCTCTTGTGCATTTATTTTTTACTGCATTTAAACAACAAAAACAATTCAAATATGGACGCTGAATGCATAGAGTCTATATGCTAGTCTTGGTACCTACCCATCATATCTCTTCTTGCCGAGGCAAAGACCCAGAAGGGCCGCCAGTAGAATGACGCGCAGCACGGCCATCGTCACCTTCAGAAATAAGAAATGGTTCTCGTAACTTCGCCTTGTTTTTATAGCAAGAACAATCCAGGGGTCCTTTAATAATCTCTTTGTCTAAACAGAGTTTGTTAAATGTTGATATCGGAATTGTATCGTCGTTCGAATTGGGTTATCATTTTGTTTTTCCTGTACGTTTTTCAAGCACTACACAACGAGATTTAATCGTCCACAAACACGCAGCTGACTTGTGCTTCATTGGTGACGATAGAATACACACCGTTATTCATTTTGGCGGGATTGCTCCTTGAAAGGTACAAAGGGCTGTTTTGTTTGAAGTAATAAAATTGAAGTAAAGAATTTGCTCAGAAAACTGAAAATATAAATGTAGATTTTGGAGTCAATATTTTGTTGCTAACGCAAGTAAAAAGTCCCTCTACCTCCAGTGGATACTATGGCCTAGTGGTTAGGGTTCGTAACCCATGCATGATCAGAGGGTCAGTGGTTCGACTATAAATGCTGCTGGCTATAAATGATACCAGTATTTGTGAACAAGCATCCCATCCAGGGGGAATATGTTTTTAGACGTTTCATGCTACTGAAACCGGAGAAGGGCCACAGCCAATGTCGTGACAGACTTTACTTTACTTCTTTCAATGGTTATATTCATTCAATTGAAAGTATTTTAGGCGGAATGGCTTCACATTTGGGACCAACCCGTCTTCACTATTAGCAAATATTTTTCATTAAATGTCCTTGACAATGTGAAGCAGACCAGGCTGTACCATGTAAAGTCTACGTTTTCATAATTTGTATAGTGTACAGGTCTGGTATAGGTGTATATCTACGGAACTCAAGAGGTGCCATCCAAGATGTTTGGTGGAACCAAAGAAAGTAAAGCAGAGGTGGTTGTGACATTGATGAGGCTGACAGACATCAGTGGCTCCGAGGATATATAAGTTCTTCCTTTCTTCATCAGGGGACGTCCTTGAGCATTGACAATCTTAACCCCTTCCGTACCCGCCCGCACCTAAAACTATAAGTGGAAATACCATTTGGCAATGACGACAAAGGGGTGTAGACACATTTACAAAAGTATTCTTGGAATATATGGCATGATTTTCACCTCTAACGACAGTGCACTGCGAATCGCACAATATGTGGTTGTTACAAAACTAAAAGCGCTGTGGATAAACTACGGAGCTCTGGAGGTGCCATCCAAGGTGTTGGGATCCTGATGACATCTAATACACGTAATATATGTCAACATCCTGAGATAATTTATCATTTGACGACGTCGTGAAAACTAGAATGTCGACATCATCCTGAAAGTAGGTGATTGCTTTCTCATCACTCCACTAGCAGCATCATTGAAATTATCTGAAGCTGTTGACATCTTATACTTTTAGGATGTTATCATCCCGGGACTAACTATCTCGGCATGTCGACAATGTCGTCATCCCGTATAAATATATTGTCTCGGGATGTCGACAACCTCCGTGTAATATGTTGGCATCCCGTGACACATTGCCAGGATCTGAAGATCTTGGATGGCACCTCTAGAGCTCCGTAGAAATACACCGATACACAGTTACGCTATAGAAAGACCTACGATGTGCGTGTTTCACCAGACATTATCACGTCTCTTTTAACTGATAGTGTTAATAATCAGAGTGAGAACTGAACACGTTTGAAGGGCTACAAGCCAGTTAAGCTGGAAGCCGATAAAGAGTATTGCATGAAAGTCCTTTATCGACGATCATGACGTTGGTAAAGGATACAAAGAGAAAAACAAGTTATTTATAGCGCTGATATATTCTTGTAGTTGAAGATGACCAGTATTAAAATCGGTATGTTTTTCATTCCAAGGGCATCAAGCTTGAACGGGCAAGGTCAGTGAATATACATATACCGTTTGTTCATTTCACACGGGGTACAGACTTCCAACAGATACCACTATAACTATCTGGCCATTCTTGTTTATTTTGTAAGACAACAATTCGAAGTAAATGCTTGACAAACATCTTTATCGAAAACTGGGGAAGCGAAAAATAAGCAATTAGAGAAAAATAAGCAATTAAAAAACTTCATTAAGGGAAAAAAGAAAGTAGCATTGTTTTGATGGATCGGCTTTGGAAATCATTCAAACTCGGAAAAATACTCCCTTGGATATTTCCTCCCTTGTGCAATTTCGGTATTTTAATTGTCTTGTGCTTGGTCTGTTTTATGCGTCTGTCATTGTGCAGTGTTGGAGAGACACGCCCTATTGACAGTGTTTTGTTTCACTTTTGTTCTTCTCCTTGGCAGCCCTGCACTGTCCACGTTCTGTCTTTCGTGTGTAGTGTTTACTTGGTTTCTTATTGTTTGTATATCCTTTTGTTTTAATATCAAATTTCATGTATTTATTGTGATTGTGTGTTTATGTCAATTTGCCGAATAAATATTATATTATTATATTATATTATCAAAAGAAAATGCTGTAATGTTATATCCTTTTTCATCATCCATTTTAAATTGTTGGGGCGTCGACTTCTCATGGCCTATTCTTGGTCTTTTACTATGGTCGCCACGTGGAATTGCTCCGCAGCTCTCATAAACAGAAAAAAAACCTGACCACCGTCACGCAAGAAGCAAAATAATCACAAACACAAGTTATTTTTAACATCAAAAGTTTATTGTGTCTTTCAAAAGCTCTTATTAAGCGAAAGTTACCAATGCCATCAGACTTGGGGAATAAAAGAGTGACATGTTGTCGAAAGGCCTTTTATCTGTCTGTCTGTAGCTGTCGTGTGTGTATTTCTTATCTTTTCGAAAACGCTTATTCATTAATGGGCTGCTTTCTTCGAAGATAAAGAAACCGACTCGGCAAAAAATTCATAAAAATAAACCAATTATTTAGGCAAAAACTTTGTAAACAGAAAGCTTGCACCAGAATTATCATTCCATGTGTTTGCTTTTTTTTGCATTTTGGTAACATCTACATACATTTTTTATCTTTAAAGCCTCATGTGTTTTATTATTATTATTTAGGCCTTGGTTGTTCCTGAAAGGACAACAAATCTAAAGGGCTTCAATTAGCATTATCATTTGCATTTTCAATGCCCCTCCAATAATTGGTGCTTTATATGAAATTGTTCCCGATAGCCTTAACAGCCTCGAAGGTCTCCACCGCGCTCGCGTGGATGAACCGTTCGGGCATCAGGAAGCCGTAGGCCCCGGTGTCTCTCAGCTCGGGGGCGAAGGAGTACGGAATGCCGGCAACACCGTAGGCCCAATCAGCACTAGAGCCCGAAGCCTCATCTGAAGGGTAGAAGAAATTGAGAAAAATACTGTATCAAGAACGCACTATGTATTGGATGGAACTTAAATGGGTTTTGCCTCTCGGCGAAGGGCAAAATCCAGCCGGCCGACCCCAGCAAGCTCGGTGGTCGGGTGGTACGTCTCCACCAGTAAGCAGGAGGTCGTGGGTTCGAGTAGTGATTGGTTCGAGTTGTGATGAAAAGAAATTAGGACAACTGTCTACCATCAATTTCGTTAACGTGACAACAATTATAAACAGTATTTTCCCACAATAGTGTGTGCATATAAATGGCATGCACGATACTGTTCCCCTGTGTGAATAACAGATGGCATTGTTCTAACTAAAGTCATTAGTCTTACTGTGTGCACCGTGCAAACTGAAACTGATTGAGGTCCTCCGAATGCAATATAATAATGACTCCAACTTACAGATGACATTGGCGATGCTGCCCGTGGTATACTGGGTACCATACACGGCCGACAGCGCAGCTACAGCCTTGTCAGCCAGTGCTTTCTATTAAATAAAAGTGAGATTAGACTGGTTACACAGTAGTGAAGACATTGGTATAAAACAAAAACAACATCTATAATACCCTACTAACTCAGTCTGATTCAGTGGTTGGACTACCCAAACAATTAACGCTCTGTTACTGGGGACTGTGTGGACGTACAAGGTATTACTGGAAAACCGATAAACTATCATTTAAGATATAATAACAAATGGTACCTGGGAGACACTTTCTAGTAAATTGTTTAACATTAGGGAAACATTGGTAATTAGGGAGACATGTTAGTGTCTCCCTAATGTTTGAACTACCATTTCTGGAGCGAATTTTAGTGTCGCCAGTTGCTTGAAACGATTCCTTAGGTTGAGGATGATTCAAATGTTCGGGAGGGGCGTATTAATTAATGGAGTTATAGGAAGGTTTCTGTCTATTGGAATGTCTTCCTGTAAGGCACCATTTTCGGTACGTTACAAAATGATGTAAGTTTATCATAATTTTACATATATCACCCAATTATTTCTTGCTGCATTATTTTTGATACACCTCGTATAGCCCATGTTACACCTGTTACCAAATTGGATGCAGTGGTCACGTGTAACGACTTCAGCAATTTCTCCTGTTTTGCACTGCTTGAGATAATTTATGAGTGGTCTGTATTAGTGTTTACTTTTTAATATGGGCTAAAATTTGAGAAAGGTGCTTAGGTTTTTGATGTTAGCATGATGTCACTGGTGACGTGGTTTATGTGACAACCATACATCACGAAATTTGACCCACCTGAGCAGCATAGTTAGCAGGCAGTCTCCTAGTGTAGCCCCACGGCACCATCCAGTACTGGCTGTAGCAGTGGAAATCCACGAACGCCTGGACGTTTTTCAAGGTCAGGATGTAGTCAGTCACCGTCTTGACCTCGATCTCGGTGTGGGCCGCCGTGCCGCAGTACGTGTCGGAGCAGGGCCACCTGCTGGCACCGGCCACTGGGGAAGGTGAGAAGTAAGGAAAAATGGCTTGAGAATAGACTACTTCATGCACGATGGTTGGCACTTGCGATGTGCGCCGCGTTTTACTAAAGAATGATGTACATTAACAATTTGGTTTGGTGTATTTATTTGGCTCTAAAACGTACGAGAACTATTGCGAGTTCATCGGAAATCAACTTAGCTTGCAGTCTTTACTGGTAAAGGCGTTCACATCAAACTGACTGTTTTTCATTTTTCCATTTTAATACGAGAACGTCTGTGCATCGTGCACTCTGTATGTTTAATTATCCGGGCTTAAGGTCTAAACTTACCACACCACTGATGGTCCCAGTTACGATTAGGGTCGGTTCCGACGCAGGCAGACATTGCGTTGGGCTTTCTGGTCTTACGCCACATGCGGTCCTGGCGAGACAAAATTTAACATTCCGACAATGAGGAATTAAAAAATAATACGTCGTCGTCGTTACCTGAACCAACCACATCGCTTACAAGTTTTGATCTAAACACGTACTTGTGATATCCGTCCAAACTTAAAAATCCCGCCAAACAGAAAACAAAACACTTTCAAAGAGCGTACACACTGGACTCTTGGTGGCGCTGTTACCCCATAATGCATTGCGCCAGATATTATTTTGTGCCAGATATTATTTTGATGCTCGAAGTAACACGTGAATGCTCTGGCCTTTTTCATTAGAGTATCTTGATAATTTATGACTAAATTGTGCGGGCTTGTTTACAAATCTGGACCCCTGATAGTAAAATATCCTGGAAACTTTGATAGATCGATTGCATTTTAGGAGCCTTCTTTTAGGTGTGTTTAGTTATGCCATGTCATTAACGATGAATGAACTGACAAGGAATCCACTCATGTAAATCCCTGTTGAAAAAAACAACACTTTAACCTCAAAGATGGCGTCAAAGCGAACGATCTATTCCTCACCCCAGTCCAAGTGTAGACGTAGCCATCGGGGTTGAACATGGGCAAGATGTACCAGTCAACCTGGTCCAGGAGGGTCGTGATGGACGAATCGCTGCCGTAGCCTTCCAAGAACTAAAGACAGAAAGGACTGCAGTTAGTAGAAGTAGAAACATTTATTTCAATGTTGCCATTTCCACACAATAAAATGTTACATTGCCGTGTAAACATATTATACAGAGCAAAATGCAATGGATTATGTAATTGTGTATAATAATGTACATGGATCAGTACTAAAACAATTTTACGACAACATTTAGGTATAAGGTGAAGCGTCACGCTTTTGTACCCTAACCTATCGACAGACAATTGGACATGACCGAGAAAAACAGAGACAGTGACAAAGGACAAAATGGACAACAGTGAGACACACAAAGACACAACCTAGAAAACACAAACTGGTATGAGACATCTAGATACATAAATGATAACTAGTTATTCGAATAAACGTAGAAAAAAAACACAAACTGGTATGATACGAGAGCATAATCATGTAGATTAAAAAATGTTAACTAGTTGTTCGAATAAGAATTGAGTAGATGTGATCTAAGGTTTTTAACAAAGACAGAGAAGTTAAATCTCAATCCCGAGGCCAAATTCACGGAGCTGCTCTGCACAAAAGCATGTGCTTCGTAAAAAGCAGGCCATCAGCCATGATATATTATCTTTAGAGTACGTATAGACGAATCAAATTAGCCTGAAACCGAGGCTATCAGTGCTAAGCCATTGTATGAATTGAGGACCTTTTCTTTGTTTGATCCTCTCAGCAAAAGACACACTGAGGCCCTCGGTTTCAGTGTCGATTTGAAATTTGTCAATGAGTCCATGGCTTGTTAGCAGCTGAATTGTACTCAGCAAATTATTTTTGTTCACTAAGAAATAGGAGCCTAGGCCTAAAACTATGTTTTGCTAAAAGGCATCTCAATGAAATTGGTCCCAATCACGCACTGGAACTAGTCCAATCAGGTTTGTGAGTCTTGGGCTTTGGTTTAGACATTGACCGCAGTCTTAGATAAACACCAATACGGTCTCAAACACTGCTTGAATCAGTCATTTTTGAATGTGTTCTCTTTTTTGCGTTAAGCCTTTATGGCCCCCACTGCATTAGATAATAAGAAAGCGATTGCATGCCAAATTCAAATATAGTTCCTGTCCATGCAAGATTTTGTAGACTGTTCGGTTCGGATCGTTTGATTTTCTGCAGTTGCTTGTTACTTACTGATGCACTCACTTATACAATTTTGGTTAAATCACATTGTAACAAGCTGTTTAGCTTGTCGTACTGTAATAACAAGTTTCAGCTTACCATGTTGACCATGGTGAGCATGGTGGCCGGTGAGAGCCATTCCCGGGAGTGCACGCCGCTCTCCAGCCAGACGATTGGCTTGTTCAAGCCACGCTTACCGAGCTATAACAAGCCAGGGAAAATGTGGAAATTAGTAAAAGTGGGCCTGGGACATGAACGTAAATTAAGTTTTGTGATGGGGGAGCTAGGGTAGGCTCACAGTCCCACTGCGACATGGAACATTTTGTCCCCTTTATCGGACCGTCAGTGCGGGTCAAAACTACCAATGCTTTGGCCGCGTCCGTATAGACCATTATCATGTTGCAGCCATTTGATTTTTCCCCATTCAAATCAATGTAACCAAAGCGAGGCTGGAAGGAAAAATAGTCTGGTTCCTTTTTGCACAAAAACATTATCATTCAGTAATGTTATTGGCTATAGGGGGCATGACTGAAATGGTGGCAGCAATTTTGGATGCGCCAATGGAAGCCTGAATCCACTTCCAAAAAGACGTCAAGTTCGTCGGACAAGTAGCTTGCCTAGCCTCTGTGTTCCATTGGCATCCAAGTTTCGAAAGCACGCCCTCTTGTAAATGGTTTTTTAACTGCGGGGATGGCCCGTGTTCTTTTTGCGGGCGTCTCACGAAAGAAGATATTAGGAAGGGAAGAATTTACTGCTCACTTGTGAAAGAGAACAACTCACACTTTTGCCAATGAGTCAATAATTTTTAAGTGAATTATGTCTAGAAAACGATATGCTAAAGACGCCATACCTTGAGGAGCTTGATTTCTCTTCCCTCATAGGAGTAACCCAGCAATTCTTCGGTCACAATGCTGCTGTACTGACTCGCAATGTCACTCACCCACTGGTTGATCTAAAAAGAGGAAAAAATGTTCCGGAGTGTTTAAGAATCATTGTACAATGTACCAGGTTCAAAGAGCAAGTACAGTGTGTTTTAAAAAAAAATGCAAACAAAATGTAACGGAATATGACGTAGAACGTGTAACCAACATAGATAATATAGGTATAGATACGCCTTACCACTTTAAAATGAGACATCAAACATCCAAATCTGACAGCTTTTGACCAATCACCGAACGTAGGCAAATGCAAGCTGCTACGTCATTGACTAACAATCCAATCAGAGCTTTACTGAGAACTGATTGGGGTCGTTTCTTTAATTTGCCAATTCATTATAACTGAACTATACCAATGAAGGGGGCGTGCCCTTACCTCGTCATACGTGTGGTACACGTCGTAGTCGAAGGTGGCCGACGCTGACACCTCGGACCTCTGCATCTGCTCGTCGATCAGCTGCTCGACATTGTCGATGAACACCTCGGCCTGGAGGCCGCGCTCACTGAGCATGCGCAGAGCCTCGTCTTGGAAGTTGGGTCCGACCATGAAGTCGATGGGCTTGCCGGCGTGGCGAGGCTCCGCCCAGAAATCCAGCTGTAATAGCATCAGAAACAAAAACATGTAGAGAATACATGTGGATCGAAAAGAACAGTTCAAAATGAGATCAAATAAGAATGATGGTTTGTTCTCTGGGGGGGGGGGGGGTGCCATAGGCTTAAATTTTACCTTGCCATCCAGCAGGTCACGGAGGGAGCCCATGGAACGAACTTCATCGTCATCACGCGGGGTCACGCGAAATACCTTGAAACTAAAAGGACAACGAATTTTTTTTATGTGCAAAACTTTCAAATGAGAGTCGTCCGATAAATTAAACGTTTTCATAGCTGATCGGACCTACAACAGTTCCATGGAGCCGCCGCAAGCACAGAAGATAGTTGCTTAGCCATTATACAAATATAGCATGGTTTGAGGGAAAGTAGTGGACGAGGTGTAGGTCAGTCAAGCTGACCTACATCGAGGGACCAGTAATTCCAACTCCTTTCCGGAAATAAACCATGCTGCATTTGTTTTACTACACCTCATAAATATTTAGTAGTGTCTCTGTCTTTTAGTAGCCTCACTGCCTTGTCGATACGGCCTTCGTAGATTTTGCATCTTTATTCAGCACACTTCAAATTCTTCGTCACAGTATGAGAATAATTAATGTGTTTCTACTGCAGTAGTAACAAGGATTACAACAACAGACTGGTTCTGTAAAGATTTACATGCCACAGAGTACATGTCTACGAGGCGGGTTCCAGAGGGAATATTTGGTGCTACCAGAAAAAAAACTTCCGCACGGCAGCGAGCTGGATACTCATCGGGACACGTCACTTGGGCGGGTATAAATTTTACTTCCGGACGCGCGGCGGAATCGGCCAATGATGCGTTCCAATTTGATCATGAATATTATTTTATGAGGTGTAGTTATACCAGTAACCGGCCGAAAGTTCACTTTACAGGCCGAAAGAGGCTGTTTTGCTAAGCACAACATTTGTTCATAGTAAGCAATAATTCCTGCTTATGCACCGCCATGAAATTGGGTCTAGGTTTTGTGGTATTGTCGAATATACTTACCCGTTGTAGTCAACTCTAGCGAGGCAGACGCCCAAAAGCGCCACCAGCACCGCTCCCCGAAATAGACCCATGGTGAAGAATCGTGTCTCGTGGACAAAGTGGTGGATGAGGTGGCCATTTGTCTTTTTATATTACCAGTTAAAACTTAAGAGACTTAATTAGATAAAAACAAAGGGACTTACGGTTTTAATGTGGTGGCCCCTAATGGCCACTTTAATGTTCTTGCTTCTTATAAAGCAGACATCAAACCAAAATGGACACAGGGCATTTTTGTAATATCATGTTGGGTTAAAAATGGCACGATGTAGAATTGTTACCGTAATGCTGATCGGGGGCAGAGCGTTAGAAGGGGCTATAACAATGCTCATGTAGATGGAGTTGCGACAACTAGCCCCATTTGGACACACAATGGTGTAAAGTCGCATTCCCCGTGCTATTTTCGAGTGTCATCCCAAAAAATAGATTCCTTTTTTTTACTTCAATTTTGTTAAGCTATACAACGTTAATTTCTAGTACTATAGGCTGTAATAGACAATCATTCCGTTCTCGCGGGGTAGGCTGGTTCCTACCCCACAATCAGTATTGATAATGTACGGGAGAGAGTCTGCTCGCAAAGCGGATCTGTTTGTGCCAAAAACAAAATCCTTTTTTTCCCTGAGGGTGGCAGAGTTTTTTGGCTTGAACAAAACATACAAGTTGACAATTTACTGACATAAAAAAATCGAATATGTTAAAGAGCACAGGAACGCAATTTTATTCGAACATCTCACCATTGTACACATGCAATAAAACTGAAAGCTGCATCTACCTGGTATCCAGACTTTAAGACATTTTTAAGGTCATATCAGCTCAGGTGCGAAGCCTCGTCTATGACCAATATAATAATTTCCACAAAATACATATTCCATTAATTGTCGTTACTTAGCTCCTAGGGGACACCGTAACAGTAATCGTGGAAAAACAATGCTGTCGCAGCTTGGGCTATAATTACCAGTGAACTGAAATTAATCCGGATCTTATTAAGTTAATCGACTTTCCCCGCATATAGATTCAGTAGATTAAGTTAATCTGCTTACGCCCGGCTAATCGGTCGTTGCTATCGATCGGAAGATGAAAGTGCAATGCGCCAACCAAAACAAAAAAAATAATGAAATTTTTCAGGGAATAAAGATAACGGGAAGTTCAACAAGGCAGGAAACATATTTTTTTTTAAATTCATTCCACCCCTTTTTAATTTTGCCATGTATTACCTAAAGTTGTTATGCTCTAGCGAGTAGGAAATAAACATAAAATATCGCCTTTACAGTTTATGTTAAGAGTGAATAATTATTAACAACAGCGATATCAGTGTAGGGGTAAACTGAAAATTATTGTTATTTTTGCATTGCTTTACCTTCCTATGCTAAGTTTTTTTTTTTTTTTAAATTAAAAAAGTGACATCACTTTAAGGTGTGCGTGTCAAAAGCCTGGTGAACACAGGTATTTTGAGACACGTATATGCATATATTTTTTTATTGACTTCCAGTCAGAGTTATAATATTTGTAATGCAATGTGGGCAGTCGTTGCAAACACCGATGGGAACGGCACCAGATGGATTATTGATTAAGAGCACGAGATTGCGATAATCATGTATATAGAGTTTTACTGACCTCCATAAGACCATACAATAATACGAATTCAAGCAGTACTTTTCATAATTAGTTTATATTGAATAGGTTGGTAGGAATTTGTAGGAACTGCAACTGACGTTATACCTTCCGTTGTTCGTTAAAGCGTCCATTAGATGATTTTTTTCTTATATAGGAATACATTTTGTGCAACTTTCTACTTCTCTTAATTGTATGAAAACTATATGATATCCTTTTTGTTTAATTTTAGTGCACTTCTTTATAAACATTTGAGATTTCCCATGCTTTTCCGGACAACTGAAAGCGCTGTTGCTGTGATGTCATTAAAGGGTCTGTGAAATGAATCTTTCTGAGGAATATGTTTTGTGCAACTTTCTACTCCTCTTAAATGCAACAAAACTATTTGACATCACTTTTTGATTATTTTTCTTTAAAAGTGCACTTCTTTAAACATTTGAAATTGCCCATGCTTTTCCGGACAACTCAAAGCGCTGTTGCTGTGATGCCGTTTAGGGAAGATACTGTTCAGTTTAGGGGTTTTCTGTTCAAATTGTGTTTACCCAAATATTTGCGGAGTGAAAACATTTGCGTAAAAAATGTACTCATTGGCTTACTGCCATGTACTGACACAACAACAAATCACCAATCAAAAAAAATACACGACAGTGATTGTAACATTGAGGTTTCTGCCGGAAATAACATCACACTTTAGCTCATGAATATGGAAATTTGTATTTAGCTTAACAAACAAAAAGGCACCGAAATACCATTGGAAATGGCACAACGAAAATTGAAATAAAAATAGGACACAAAATGTGCATTTTCAAGGATTGGATTTTAAAAATTGCATTGCAATCATTAATGGTTTAAATTTGAAGTGTAGATTGTAGGGAAACACATTCTCGAATGTCACAAGAGCAACTGCCCTATGACCACATAATCACGAGATAGTAATGGCCAACATGGTTTGGGGATGGAGGTTGTATGGGTAATAGACTTTATTCATGGGTCGGCCATATTAAATTGAAAGCGAGGTAAACTCTTCATTTTGGAACATTTTGGAAGTAGAAAGTAAAGCAATGAAATAAAAGTTCATTACAAAGTTCTGGTTCTAGTTCTGGTTCTGGTTCATGTTGAGTCGGTTAAATTCATTCATTTCACACCAACTTAAGTAATACCAGTCTGCTCTGGTAAATGATTAAAAATTCGTCATTAAACATACCCCAATGTTTTATTTAAGCCACATTTAGCAAGGATTGGAACCCATACCCTAGTCGTAAAAATAGTCTGGCACCATACCATTCAACATTTTATCATTTATAAAACAGATTCAGGGAATACGATCGAACATGGCCCCCTCGGGCATAAGGTCGATAGGTTTGACCTGTAATATCAACAAAGACATGTGGCCTCTTCAGGCTGAGTGCATTTTAAACTCGTAAAAAAAGCAGCGTGAACAAATCAACGACTAGTCTCAACTTTTCCCGTTTTATTGACCTTTGACCTGGAAATTTAAAATTTGGTCAGTTACAGTGAGAAGCAACACATGTTTTTTAATTGTATACTGAATACATTTACTGAATACTCAGTTTTGTCTGAGACACAGAGCGAAAAAGGTCGAGGCAAAAAGGAAAGGTTTTTGCATATTCATGACACTGTGAGCACGAAGAATTTGTAAAACAGATAACTACAGACAGATTCAATCTATATTCATTGGAAGGAGACTTTCCACAGAATTTGACGACTTAGAAATCTAAGGGAAATGTTATCAGTTTAAAGCCAGAGTATTTGGGGCTAGCCTGGCCATTTGGGGGGAAAAAGACATCGCACCACGGCTGTTTTCAAACGAAGCGCAAATCCTTGAGACTATTTTTCTTTTAAGGCAAAATGCCGAAAAGCCAGTGATACTTCAACCTGGAGCGACATTTTGCAGATGAAGACAATGTGTAAAGATTTGAGACTTCGCCCCGGAGTTAATTAAGGCGAACCATCGCTGTAATTGCATAGTAACCCTTGGGGAATCTACGGGGCCAAGCCACGGAGATTTAGGTTAATCCAACAGGGTGATGATAACTCATCTCCCTTTACCGAGAAAAAAAAATCCGATTTTTTTTTTCTTTCGAAGATCCTTCATCCGTGTTTCGCTCAACACCGCGGTTGAATTGTACATATCCGTCGCAATTTCATTAATTCTAAACTGATCAAGTTTAAAGGCAGATCTCCGACTTTGATATTTATATCCACTCGGATTGAATTCGATGCTGTCATGCCAAATGGTATCAAAATTAACTGAATTCACAAACCTCGGGCCAAAGCGAGTTAAAGGCATCGGAGTTATTTTGATCAAAATCTAGTCTTGAATTATCATTGGGTTTGGTTTTCTCTTCCCGAAATGTCAAGTCAATTTCTGAACTGTAAGTTGATTTGGTGAACAGGCAATGCGGACAGAAATGGCTATCTGTTCTTTGTATGTACTAAGATACAGGGTATTCCACGCATTTGGGAGTCAACATGTTTTAGATGGCCAATCATATGCTTCGTCTCTTAGGACACAGACGTGACTAACCAATGAATGTTATCGTTTGATATGCATGTACTTTCTGAGTAATTGCTATGAATTGCACGCCATACAGTATTACACAAACTGTTTACCAAGTCCTACGCAATATATTACATTGCAACAGTCCGGATCGATATAATTACACTGAAAATGGTTTCATTTTAAGATGCCAATCTATAGTGATCCAAAACATTAAGCCCACTATGGCATCGCTTTTATAACTTGTTAGTGAACAAGAAAAACAAATTTTATCACAAAAAAGCCAGCAAGTAATAGTTTATATTGCACGTAAAAACCATGTCAATGCCAGCAGTCAGTTTGACATTTCAGGAGCTGATCCCGGGTAGGCATATGTGGCAAAACAGACTACGACCATTGGACACCAGACCTTTCCAATTCCAAATGATATTGAAATCAGAATTGTTCATTGTAATATGTCACACCCCACGATGATTCCAAGTTGATAAATATTCTTTATTCAGACAATAAGTACTCCTTGATTTAATAAGCATGTTAGAAAAGATCTCTGAAATACACACAAATACGCTGAAAGACTGATGGAATATTAAGGTTTTAAATATCAACACTGAAAAGTTTACAATGAAATGACGTGAAAGAAATAACATAATAATGCCAACTCAGAGCCGTCTGCGCTCCTACATGAACAGCGCCCTCTTGGTGTACATTCAATAGTGAAAACAATCTTATCATCATCATAAACATTGCATACAGTGTGTCCACTTTGTAATCGCGGTTTTTTGTTTTCAAGGAAAAATTGCCAAGTCACGTAATATGCACGCCGACAAGGTTTTAGCGAGCACCGACAAAATGAATGAACAACTTTGACGTCATTCTTATAGAGTGACTTTGGCATGTAATGCAGATGTCCGCTAATAATTTTGAGATTCAAAAAGCGATCAGTGCATTTTGATTGAAGTAAATTTACAGATTGAGAACTACTCGGTTCTAATTTTATTTAAAAAAAAAAAAAAATAACAGAATGCCCTACAGCACAGATTTAACAATTACTCAACAAAATAATTGATGAAACTTGCTTAATTTAATGTACTTCAGTAGGTACCCCTACACATTTTCATTGGATAGCGCCCTCAAACGGCCAAAAACGATTTTTCCCGCCGTGATTGATTGGGGCCATATCTTTGTCCCATGCACGAGGCGTATACGGGTGTCTCTTAATTCATCATTGCCACGACCCGAATTACAAAATTCCCCAACTGAATCTGTTATCCCCATCAATCAATGCAATCCTCGTCACTTGATGCATTATACACACATAACGCGTGTACATCAACGAAGATTGAATATTTCAGAAGCTCACGCGTGTGGTAATGCAATTGAACGCCAGCTAAGATGGTAATTAGGGAAGTGGTAACAACAGCTGTGCTTATTTTGAGTCTAATTTTCTTAAAGAATACCGCTTCTGTAGGATTACCGTCAATTGATCGTCACCGACGGCCATCGTGAAGCTATTAAAAATAAACAACCAATTTCGTTTTTCTTTTCTTTTTATCACAGCTGTCGACAAATCCATACTAAGTGACCTTTCATATCTGTCCCTGTAAATTATCGAACCCAAAAGAGACTATGATTGTAAATAAAACGAGTGAGGCCGAAGATACGAGCGTTGGTGATGACACAAGGCAAGACAGATGCGGAGGAAAGAAATCAATCGAAAAGAATGTAAGGATGTGCTCCCTGGCTGCCTTAAAACCTCCTAAAAATTCAGCAGGATACTTCTTACAAACTATTCCCCACGGCAACTGTTCCATTGGCACACGCACTTTTACAAATCGCATCACTGTCAAAAGCTGTTTGAACACTGAACTCTTTCCAATGCACGAACTCAAGTTAACCGACAAAATGCACTTCTCAGATAAGGGTTGAAAAGTATATTTTGATACATGATTCTAATGTATATAGAAAGTGACATTTTAATGGCCCCAATTTCTCCTCGCGGCCCTTTTGTTTATGTCAGTTGAAATGTCAGCCCTCGATAGCTTGACGGATTTTACTGCCCTGAAAATGCTTACTCGAGCTACCCACGCGACTGAGTTTTTATAACCCAAATTTTAGTCTGTACACGAGCCAGTATTATCGCACGGCCGCGAAAAAAAGATATAACATCGAGAGAGAATCGTGCTCGTACCGTACGCTGCTTAAAGGTAAATGGACAACATTTTGCAGCCATTCAAAAACGAAACAGCCAAAATATTATGAAATATCCTACTTGATTTTCAGTAAATAATAGGATCAAGAATCCTGTGAAAGCATGGTGCCTAGTATGCTTTCAAGAAAAGAGGAATTACCATCATTTCTGTGTGATGGTTAGGACTCAAACCATCGCGAAAAAAGTGGGGGTTTTTGTCAAATACTGCTCCGAATTGACCGAATTTAGTTTAGTTTGCAAACGGTTACATATCTGTGAATGAGAGTGATTTTTCCCCGAGTGACAAAGTGAGATCAAACCACAAGAGGGTGCAAGTCAAAATGTATTAATGAACATTTTGGAAGGGAAGTCTTTCAACCGAAACATTGCTTTGCCTCGAGAAAAAAATGAACATACATTCTCATAATTATCTCAAAAAGCTGAAATTTCGACATGTTAGTTTTTTAATAACCTGCTTCCGATTTATTGTGTCGTTGTTCCTTGAATCAGAAAAGTACTTTTTTTTGCAAATGGTGTTCATTGCCTTTAAAAGAGGCTCCAGGGGTGTTTTGACAAAATTCCAAGTTAAAGTTCATAGAGGTTGCATGCTGCGTGTTAATTAAAGTCACTGCATTAAAGTGCACGGCAGCTGTGTACCGACACCAAACCGCACCCAGCTGTTTCGTGCGCAGTTTGTTGGTTCAATGGGTTTCCCGCTGAAAGGAATGCGTGTGCTACTCTATCAGTGACGTCATCCATCCTGGCCCTGACTATCTGTGGAATGTCCAGAGAAGATGCCCACATCCTATGTGATGCCAGATCGAGATCAATCAACTTTGTCAATCCGCGCAGATGAATATTTTTGTCATCGTCTGCTTGCTGGAGTGAATTTGTCTCCGTTTCGCACAGGCGTGTTGATTAGGTGTTCTGGATTTCCTTTCCAACCAGGACCCAATTTCGCAGCTCTGCTAACCAGATTATTCCGTGCTTACGATCACTATTCTGTGCTAGCACAGTTAGCAAAAAACAAACTTGTACTTAGCCCGGTAAGCACAGAATCCTTATATAGTTACGGGATGTATGTGCATAAGCCAAAATAACTCGCTGAGCTGTGAAATATAGCATAAGCACAGAATTTGCTGCTACAGTTTAGGCTACCAGTTTCGCTAACGGTGAGCAGAACCATGAAATTGGGCAATGCGCAAATTAAAATGGCATGACATATCTAGGACAAAGCCCATTTCTCCCTCCAAGGCCTCTAGACTATAGCCTTATCGCAGACAAGATATCACCCGCCACGTTTGGTCTATGGCGCGTGTAGTACAAAACTACGGTCCTATTGCACTCAAGTTTTTCACATTTTGGGAGCGTGGTTGGAACATGATTGGTCCAAATTTGTTGGATTCCTGCAAAGCTTCCGTATAAAAGGCATGGATTTACATCATCCTCAGTGACCCTTTGTAACGAGACTGCTTGGCGATACGCTCGGTGAGCTTTGTAGCTGATGAAGCTTGCATCAATTATCAGTATTTTAAGCAAGACTTAAAAAAAAAGTCTCATCTCTAGTTGGCGGCACTCTTTGAGAACTTTGATCTTTTTATCTTGGGATCTTAGTAATATTGAATTGATCTTAGTAGTACTGTTGTGAGGTAATAATTTAATAGAGCCCATCAGACTCAAGATAGCAGGATTCGTTTAGCTTTCGCGACTACCTCCCGTCAATGATGGCAATTCGCACAACTGAGTAAAGTTGCTTCTTGACGAGCAAGTGACACAAAATTATAGTCATTGAAGCCCTATGTTTGATTTACCATTAAAAATAACAAAATGACAAAGCAACTGATCAAATCAAGATGCTCTAAGATCACACCCAAAGTCCATCCATGCCAAAGTCGGAATTGGTCAGAAATGTAGGAATCGGTATATTTGGCCCGTACTGGTATTAACAATCACTGGTACATGGGACAAAACCTCTTGTTTAAGTTGGTCGCTGGTTTATGGTATATACCGTCTACCTCAAACCTGAATAACGAACTTTGTTCCCATTCTACTGTAGTTTGTATCCTTTCAATGAACAAAACAATAACATGAAAATCTAACTGGAATGTGTAATTTTTGTTTTAAATCTTAATAAATTCATAATAAACTTCGAATACAATATTTTGATATTTTTTTTAAATAAATAGTATTGTTTTCCACGCTCAAATGTGCAGGCCTGGGTTGTAGTCCTTCGGTAGTTCCGAGCAGTTCCTGAGCTTTAGTGCCATGGAGACCGTCTTCAGCGACAGCTCGACCATCTCGCGCATCTCCTCCGTGTAGGGGTCGAAGGTTAAAGGGTTCTTCCGCTTGCCCGACCGTTTGAACTTTCCATGAGGGCTGCTCAACACGCACAATAGTCTGCCCTCGTCCACGGGAACGTGTAGGAAATTAACGATGCCTTTGAGCACGTCGTAAAGTCTCGTCTGCAAATCCTCGTAGTAAACCACGTGGAGTCTTTTACTGTACTGTATAAAATTGACGGCCGTGTTGGCCCAAGTGCGCGATTTCCCCGTTACGAAAGCGATCCACTCTGCAAAAAAAAGATACAAGAAAAAGTTCACTTGCGTAAGTCCGTTTCCCGTTATTACATGTGTTCTTTATGTCTGCAATTGTGTAAGAGGTCTCTTTTGTGATTCTCCAAACTGATTGATATCGAGAAGTGATGAACTTTACATTGTCAAAGGAACACATTTATCAAAGCACAGTTTAGAATTTACGTCAAGCAGATGACAAACAGGAAAACGCGGCTGTTGCGGGACAAAGCCGCGGCACCGTTTTACTGCGACACAACGTAAATTCTCTCTATCGATTCTCATTTCCCGCGATCTCACCTGTCCCCTTTGTGTACTGCGTTTCCGGTGCGAAGCCAACATGGCCGCCGAACTTCCGGTTGTGCTCCGATATGATCGCCTTGTACGGGTTCCGGATGATCAGGATAGCGCTCTGAAAGCTTCGCACGTGTTCCTCGTCGAATCGGTGCGTCTTGACGCCGATGGTGTTGCCTTTCGTCCACTTCTCCTTTTCTCCGAGGAACCCTGGCATGATAGGTGGAAAGGAGCACTGTGATTGGTTAGAGATTGATCGCGCTGCTCCCGCCATCTTTAAAATACTGTGACTGCTTTATATAATGCCACGTGTAATGCATTAACCTAGCAAATTAATCGACCTATGTGTTTTGCTTCATTTAATGTAGACACTGAAACAAAATTGAAAAATAATTCTGCATGCAAAAATGCACAATTTAGTGTAAAATCTGATTTTTGAATCAACTTTTTCTCGTTGCGTTTGCCTGATGCGTTCTTAACTTTCCATTCATAACAAAATGCAAATATTATTGGGAAAAAATAAACAGTTTCTCTCATTTTTTGGGGGAGCAGATATAGATGACGACTACATGTTCTTTTCATATGGGGGTATTGGGTAATCGTTAAAGGGCCCATGCAATGTAATTCTTTGAATACAATCCCTGAAAATGCACCTTTCTATCTCATTTATTTCCGATTTTCGTTTTGCCATTTTCAGGGGTATTTTTGTGCCTTTTTCGTTTCTATGCTAATGCAAATTTCCATATTCATGAGCAAAAGTGTGATGTCATTTCAGGCAGAAACCTCAATGTTACAGCTATTTCAGCACAAAAAGTTGCCAGAATTTTGGATATTTTCCTGTCCTAAAATAATGTTCTTTTCTGTGGTGATTCGTTGATGTGTCAGTACATGGCAGTAAGCCAGTCAGCAAACTTTTCTCACAGACGTTTTCAATGAGCACATTTTTGGGTTCGCAATTTGAACAGAAAACCCCTTAACTGAACAGTGTCTTCCTGAAATGACATCACAGCAACAGTGCCCTCGGTTGTCCGGAAAGCATGGACAATTTTACATGTTTAACAGTGCACTCTTCAAGAAAAATAACATAAAAGGGATGTCAAATAGTTTTCGTACATTTAAGAGGAGTAGAAAGTTGCACAAAATATATTCCTCAGAAAGATTCATTTCACAGGCCCTTTCAATCTACCATGGCCTGACACGTACGTTCATAGATGTCCTTTTTCAACTAGGGGCAAACCTTTTTTGTAGTTTTTGTACAAAATAATGTATAAAAATGGTTACATACTTGATGGAATAATGTCCCCCCAATAAACACAACGGATTTTGGAACAGTTAATGCACCTCATTTGTGTTCACCTTAAAACGAAATCACTATACAAGCAGAAGGTGAAAATCCGACTAACCTTTTTTGAAAAGATCGCCATCATTATAAAAACTACCCGTGTAGATCCCGGTGGCTCTCTCGATGAGGTAGCGAACCCACGTGTTGCCGGAACCAGGGAAACTAGCAACAGCTACCATCGGCAGGGTACCAACCGGCTTTAACGTGATGTTATTGCAACGGTTATCTGTGAATAAGGAATGTTTTCATCCTTTGGCATCAAAAACATGTATCATGTACAAATTATTCTTCAACTAAGCGGGAAATATCTTTCTCAAAGCCAAAAAATAAAGAACAGTTTTATGCGCAAATTGCTTTCGCCTGGATTTCCAGTATATTTTTTTTCATATCAGCGGCTTAAGGTTTCCACATTTGGAAAGTTGCTCGTTATAAAAACTGTTATGAAGACAAAAAAAATAATTAAAAAAACAAAGGTATTGTTCTCATTACATGCTTTATTTCTAATTTCCCTTTTTGGTTGAAACTTCTGCTCCTTTAAAACATATTTCAACGCTATTTTGTTTTGATCATTGCAGATATACGTCATGAAATTTTAATAGGCTACGCGGCCTCGCATGAGGTTAATCAAGACAAGCCTTCAGGCCGTTTCCTATAATTGGGTAATTTGTGGCTATGACTGCGGTGTTTTGGCATTGGCGCTACGGTACACAGCCGTATCCCTAGATATTTCACAACTCCTTTGGCTTACCTTCCGCAGCAGTCTGATACACGGATAAAGTGGACTCCCCACCGCAGTAGTAATTCTCGTCCCCGGCGCACGGCACGTTGCACTCGTGGGGCGACAAGGTCTTCTCCATGCGGAACTCTTCAGTGAAGCGGCCGCAGTGACACTCCTTACCGGCTCCCAACGCGGCCACGGGAAAAAGCTTGAATATAAAAAAAAAACCATGAAAAATTCACTCATCAAAACTAAGATTTTGAATTTAATTAACTAGAAAGTAAGAAGGGGTACCAAATCCAGCGATTCATATTAGAAGCATAATTTGTTCTTATAAATTGGGTCACGTTTTGAGACCAAAACTTTCAATTTAAAAAAGGGCTAGAACGTAGCCCAAATCCTGTGTGATGTAGGCCTTTATAAACATTTCAATCGGTTTATACAAACAAAGGACGCTTTAAAACGTGGAATTTAATGACTGACTGTCTTTTATGCTACTTTTGAAATGAATAAGGTTTAATAAATAGCGGTGTTTAAATTACTGCAAATGGTGCCCTTTGGAGATATTCCCATAGACTTGTGCACAAAACAAACTGAATTCGAATGACACCTAACCCTAAGCTAAACTTAACCTAACTAACTAAACCTTGCTAATTTGGGTTTTGCATCAAGAAAAAAATCGATTAAGGCTATTTGTGACAGTAAAATCATGCCTAGAAACAGGACTTGAAACATCTACCTTATCTCCCTAAGGTACAACTTTTTCGCAAAACGTGCCTCACTAATTTGCGAGAGTTACCATTCGTACTATTCATCTTTTCAAACCGGCTGTATTGCAAAATGTAAAATGTTCGTCTTGAAAACACTATTACTATTATCTTTCAGAGGCCACTTGTCCAATTTGAGTAAAACCCGCCAGCTAGATTATTAATATCTTGTAATTTTTGTATAAAATTCCACCTGCAAATTTTTACTTTTTCATTCAACACCCTCACCCGCAGGTTAAAAAAACCGGTTGAACCGTACCGCCGATCATGCTAATACAAAGAACGAGGGTAAACTGCCCTCCAGAGCCTTCACTAATTTATTACTAACTTTCGTCTCAGCTGGACTGGGGATTGAAAGGATAAACAAAACATGTTCAGTCGCGGGACCGTAATCTGGCTAAGGCAGGAGACTCCCTACTTAAGTATATTAACTTCCTTGGCTTCGTCAGTGCCGTGTTTGATTCGTCAAACAGTGAGTGTGCCTTGGGAGACTCCGTAAACCGATTATACTGAATAGTAAGATCGGGGATTGTGCTGAGAGAAAAAAATGTCTTTCACAACCTTTTCATGGAGGAACAAAACCATCCCCCTCCCCCCCCCCCTTAATCTAATTTATCCCCTGTCACGCGAGATTTTGTATGATTCCTCATCCAAACAAGTTGCTGCGAGTTTACCTTCATATCGAGTTGAGTTTTGTTTTTGTAACAAGCGAAGGGATGTTTGACCGGGCACGGTTTGATGACGATGATGCTTAATTTCGCCATGGCTAGCGTCAATATTTGCGGACCTGGATGACGATCGCTGGGCACGGGGGACACGAGGGCTGTTGACTCAGGCGATGGAAGGAGACAGTTAACTGAGGGGGCAATATAATTGCTGTCATATCTTTAAGGTTGTTGCAATCCCGTACAGGAAGAACACTGTCCTCGGATGGCAGGAGATGCAAAGATGGGAAAGTTTGTTGCTGCTGTTGCTAATGCTGCATTATGTGTTTGTCACCACTGCATGTGTTGTTATTGTTGTGCTGTTGCGGATCTTGGTGTTGCAGCTGCTGCACTGGTGGTATTAGTGGTCTACTTCCTGTTGTTTTGCTGCTGCTGCTGTTGCTACTATTGTTCTTATTGTCGTCGGCCCATGTTAGCGAGATTTCTGTTCTGTTGCTATTGTTTCTGCTACTGACGCTGCTACAACTAATATCACTGTAATTGTTGCTTCTGCTCCTGCAAGTACTGTCGCTCCTGCTGCTGCAGTGTTGCTGTTCTGCTGCTGCTAATGTTCTTATTATTTTGCCGATGTTAAAAAGGGTTTTACCTTTTTTGCTACTGCTTCTGCTACTACTGCTGCAACTAATACTACTGTTATTGTTGCTGCTGCCGCTGCTGTCACTGCAATTACTGTCCCCGCTGCTGCGTCTGCTATAGTACTGTCGCTGCTACTGCAGCTGCTAGTATACTGCTGTACGGTGGTTGCTGCTGCTGCTAGTATTGTAGTGCTGCTGCTATCACTACTACTGTTTTTGCTGCTCTTTTTGCTGCAGTTGATCATGCTGCAGTTACTAATGTTTCTAAAGCTATTATTGCTATCACTGTTACTGTTGCTACTTCTCTTGTTGATACTGCATGTACTTACTTTTAGGCTACATTCGTTCCTTTAAACCGAATGTCATGGGTAATGTGTATCAGTTGAACGAGAGTAGGCCTATTACTATCACTACTCCCGTTGACACCAGTCTACTTTCTTCAGTACCAAGATTTATTAAAAGTAAAGTGACCCCAAATCAATAAAAACGAACGGCCATTTTGTCTCCTATATTGCATTTGTTCACTTTAATATCAGTAAGATTGACTGATTCTGCCGTTCCGGAACTGCGTGTCGCGTGTAAGGCGCACCCAACATTATTTTTCCTGCACCCGCGAGTTGTAGAGTAAACACACTCGATCACTCCCTGATCATGTTGCTGCTAGCTCTGTCCTTGGTATGGCAAAACCTTCACTACCCATGTCAAGCTCAATGTCATCAACCTCATCAGTTCTCTGCCAAAGTTTACTCTTAAAGTGCCTCTTAAATTACCGGTTGATGAAAAAAGCCAGCCATGCATAGAATCAAATCACGCGTAATGAGTCTCTTCATTGTTCAATAGTTAATTAATCATGAATCATTTTTTTTTACCCGTTCGTAGCATGTAGTCACGCACGAGTCCACCGTCATTTTGGGCGCAGTGGTGAAGAATCCCAAGGGGAGAATTGGCTGGTTGCTCGGGGCATGTGGCCGGGGGACGCACGCTCGGAAATCATCGGCTAAGCCTTCCGGGTCGCTTGATTCTTGCCCTTGACGAGCTAAAGAAGAAAATGTGCAGAAAAAAAGATAATAAAGCTCTTCGTCTTTAACTGCTTTTACGATGACATTGTAACCAGATCTGCTAAACCACTTATCTTCATAGCTCGTTTGCCATTCTGTACAAACAAGTGAAGCAACACACTGGTTCCCTATCCCTCCATTCGAATATGGAAGGGAACCAGTCTCAACCACTCCCCTTGTTCAAATTAATTTTTCAAAAAGAATCTTCTCAAAGTATAGATACGAATTTTTTTCTAAATTGATATTTTATACAGGCACAATGTTATATAGTTACAATGCCGACGAAGGGTGCATTGGAATGTACCGGCGTGCAATGTGGTACCCTAGTCCATGACATTGTAATAACAAGACTAATTAAGTCTAGTAAAGCTGTTCCCAGAGGGCGCACTTTATATTCAATAGATATAGAGTGGCTTAGAGTTTCGTAGACTATAAGCTGTAATGGCAACGTAATGGAAATAGGTAACCAATCAAATTCACATGTGACGGTCAGTCAGTGAGAGACTTAATCAGCAAGTGTAATTTAACAAGCGACAGACAAACAGTCAAACAGTGAATCAGTCAGTGAGTCGGGGAGTAAGTCGGACACAAAGACCCCTCTGGGACCAGGAAAAAACCCACATATTGCAGACTGAAATGCAGTCGGCCTATACTGATGCGCTCCATTTCGTGAGCAAATTGAAATCTGGTAGATAGTGCAATGGAGTAAATATATCATTTAACTGCAAGCAAACGCCCTCTAGAGGTAAAAGTAGACACGGGTATCGGATGAAAACGTCCAACGTACACAAACTTCGTCAGGTTACCAACAAGATGATAACTGCAAGGTAGAGAAAGGTAACTGTGGCCATTTTCAAAAACTTTGAACATCGTCTTCCACTATGACTTCACTTTTGAAATCATCCTGAAACGTTTCCGGATGCCCAAAACGTACAACCCGTGGTTCTTGTTAGACAATTTGTTGGGTTTCTTTTTTTTATTTAGAAGAGAAGGTGAAGATTAATTGAGCCCCAGGATCTAAAGTTCGAGCCTAACATCGTGAAGCCTCTGCGTTAAGCCAAAGCGGAGATGAATATGCTGTTTTGGGGGGGACCTGTTTACTATGTATTGGCATGCTTGGGCCGGATGAAAAACAGTTAAGGTCAATGCTCAGAGAATATCCATGAGCTTTAGGAATATAGTCCGGCTTGATCCAAGGCTAGCTCTTCAACCGAGATCGTACGAGCGTGCACGTTCAGTGTGTGCCTCGGGGCCGCACGCGGCGCGTCTAGACGGGGCATCACAATGGGCATCTACCTGCTTCATCGATCGATTCACGTCCACATTGATTTTGAAATTACTCCCCGGCATTCTGCGGCGGAAATGACACCGTGTTTATATCGAGGCGACCTCTGCTGAACGAATGCAATTTCACGGTGATCTGTCGTCCCTTTTCTTTAATGTGCATTTTATTATTTTTTACATGCTTGAGGTAAACTTACTACCAAAATATATTCTTGCGCATTATGTTTCACCGGTTTTAGGCAACATTAACGACGAAATAACAAATTGCGCATTTAAATCTACGATGAAAAAAAGACAAAATTTATTAGTTAACGAACACCAAAAAGGTGTGAAGAATTCTCTAAAACAATTGCAGTTACCGATTACTGAAGGACTGATTTGAAGTCTAATCAATCTTCAGAGGAAACCTTTATTGTGTTAATGTACACTCTCTCAAAAGTAACAAATTACAAATTCATACCACTTTGGAAACCATTTTGTAGGTCAATAACACTGATACTCAAAATTGAGTATAAAATACTTTTTGATAAAAGCCCCTGGCGATCAGAAATGAGCAGAGACGTAATATGAAGTAACGTGAGCACTCGACGATGACCACTTCGAGACCCAGCAATGAAATTACGAGTGCCTAATTAAATTACCTTTGTAATTAAAATACCGAAAATCGATCAGGGAGAATGTTCTCAACTGCAACCCTTGAAATCAATGCTGCACTGCCCTCCATAATAAAAAATCTCTTTAAAAAAAAAGGTCAATTTAATTTACGACTTGGCCCGCGTTTCAGGTCTTCGGGCCAAATTAACCGTATTTTTTTCTCGGCCTATCTGATTTTGTTTCCTTTTCAGTTTGAAACAGCGGACTATTTTTTTTCTTTATCTGTCAAGAGGGTGGAGATTAAGATCTTGACTTGCAAGTGCCAGCGTCATCGTCAAGCCTGCGAGCCATTTTCGTGCTAGCAGCACCGCGCCGTGCGTCGACTTCTTTACCGGGCTTCGGAGCACGTTCTGCCCCCGTGCTAGATAGGAGGTTCGCGAAAGGAGAAATCAGTGAGAGACGATCGGCATTGCCAATGATGACGGGTATGATAAACCCAGGGTGATTTGGGGAGAGTGTGACGCGTCACACCGGGACTGTTTCGTGCCAGGTCGTGACACGGTTACAAGATGCGTGCGTGTGCAGTGACAAGCGAAACAAAGCTCAGCGGGCAATTGCAGAGACGACCAGCGAGGCCAGGGAGACGATCTAGTCGGGCGCAACGGTGCGTGACGCGGCCACCGCGCGGGATGCTTTATGCTTAACATACACATATCAGTCGACGTGTGCAGAATAACAAATGAGACGTTACAGGTTTGACTTTAGGTTAACTGTATCGTATAATACGTACAACATGGTACATGTATAACCAAATGGATATCGAATTTAATATTTCTGCTACGAAAAGGCCTGATCTGGAAAAAGTTCACCAAAGTGAGAATTGTACATTATTACATTTTCTTGACAGACAAAGGTCTGTTAACTTAAAAACATTAACTTAAAAATTAACATATAAAGGTTTTTTTTTTTAAATAAATGTCACATATGGCACTTTCACTGTTGTACTGGGAAATGTGTTGAATAACAATGAAATGGATGTAAAAAAAACACCCTGACTTCTACAATTGAATTTAATCTGAGAGCGATGAGCCTATTGCGAAAAATACCAGTATCCTATCGTAAAAAACACCTGTATTTCGTATTTTAAATAAAATTTCTTTGATGTAGGCCGCTGCAATATTGAAAATTGAACGTGTTTATTTATTCATTTTTCACTTCATCCTGCACACCTTCAATTATTCATGTCTCGCCGAGCTAACCTGACAATAATACCATCTGGCAAAATGTCATCATAATTCTCCGTAGAAAGGCTTCTTGCATTATTTATCGAAATGGGTATAGCCTAATTGAAAGAACAGGTAACAAGGCTGGCCCGAACTCGTCAAGAGATGCTGTAATTACATGTCGAGTAATTTGCCGTGTAACAGTACTTTCTCCGGTGAATTACAGAAGAGGAAACATTGCATTTATAATTACAGTCTCATTCCGGGGGGGGGGTCCATTGTTATATACAAAGGCAAAATGCACGTCAGATCGTAACTGCTTTGAATACATAAAACTGGTATACACAAGGTCGTTCGTGTAATGCAGTTGCAGAATAAGACCCCAAAAGGATAGGAAATTCAATCAATCCAATCGCATTCATTATGGATGCTTCAATTATAAACAAATGGATTTCCCTTACGTAAATTGACCGTGCCAATAGCTACCTCTGGTGTGCAAAACATCTGTGGCTGATGGTTTCACTGCGTCACGCTTCTTTATGAAGTGACGATGCACATTCCCGTATAGTTGTAAAGTTTGGGGTATTTCTTAGTCCACACAATTTTCGAGTTTTATCATTATTTTATTGCATGTAATTTCATTGCTGTTTAGTGTGAAGCCACAAGATGGGTTAATCTGCAAAATATTAATATAATAAATAACAAAAATATCGAAACAGTGTCTTCAAAATGTGGTGTTTATATAGCGCTTTATGCCAACATCTCAAAGCGCTACATGAACATACTACCCTCATTTAAGATGTGTAGTCTTTTGCATTGTGCAAGGTTGATGCAAACGATATATTGGAAAAAAATAAAGAAAACATTACCAGGACAATGGTTTGCGTAAAACCGAAGGCTTTTCGGATTTTGCTTTTGTCAGCGGACAATGGCGTGAACATTACGACGGGCCCCAATTACCTTTTGACGGTAAGACGACTGAGCCTGAACGCGCTATCAAAAGAAGGCCACGCGGCGTGACTTCATTAGCTTGATTGAATGAACTTGGTGAGGAGGTTTAATTAATCTGGAAGGTCGCTTTTGCTATTAAAGTAATTGGATTAGATGAAAACAGAGGTGCATTCATATTTCCCATTATACGTAACAGCGTTGTTTGTGTGTTTGCGACAAAAAGTTAGTTTCACCTTTGCAGAAAACTGCACCTAATTCTGTGACTAGTTTGCCAATGTGTAGTTTGTACGTGATTCAGTTAATTCCTTATTAACGCACATGAATCTCTACGTTAGTAAGATAACCAGTGTGGGGGGGGGGGGGGATTGCAACCGTTGTCCTTTTAAAGGTGCTAAAGCATCTTAGTTTCTTTGAGATAAAATAATGCGAAACAAACACGCATAAGTATGAGCTGACAAGATTTGAGTGATAGGTCCCTTAGGCATAGAAAAATCGATAAAGTTGTGAACGTTATCACGATGCAAAGGTATTTTCCCTTAGGCTGAAAACTACGTGACATTAAAAATTGAAATAAACGATCCCCCTCTTCCCATATATACAACACCTGCTATAATATCTTATTGGCCACAATACACAACCGACCATCTCTTTTAAGGCGCTTTAACGATGTTGGTTATGCAATCTTGAGGAATGCACCTTTTAAATTTACATATTAAGCAAACTTATTTCAATTTATAAAATACAGACTGCGATGTTACTCAACAAAACGGGCGTATTGTCTACTCGCCACAATTTAATTGTACCGTCAGCGCCCTCAAGTGGCTTCAGAGGGGTCGCATAATGGAAAGCGTGAGGTTTCTCGAAGCATCCCAATATATAAAATTGATCTACTTTTCCCAGCCGTAAGACTCGCATCGTAAGATGGA